ACCCAAACCATACAGACAAAATTACACAGAAATGATGTGAATGTTTTCGAGTGACCGAGTCAGAGCACAGACCTCAGTCCAATTGAGAATTTGTGTCTAGACTTTAAATGGGCTGGTCACTCATGGTGTCTGAGCAAAATGTAAGAGCTTGGACAGCCTTTGTGTCTCACAGTGCAGTGAGAAAGAGAGACAGGAAAGTGGGGCAGAAGCATGGGGGGAGGACATGTGGGAAAGGGTCATGAGTGGGATTCGAACTCATGACCTCCAAATCAGGACTGTAGTCCTGTACATGGGACGCTCAACCCGGTGAGCTATAGCGGCATCCCATAGAAATAAATTCTTGTCCAAAAAAACAAATTATTTTCCCACAATTCAATGTTGAAAAGCAAAAGAAGGGGGGAAACTTCCAAAGAGAACAAATACGTCATTTCTAGGAACTGTATTTGATCAGCCTTTAGAAATCATCATCTCTCCTCCCACACTGAAAGTCACCAGTTTGTCTGAAAATGTGCAACCTTTAGAAAACACAAATGTAGATGCCTCATTTAAGAAGCTGGTATCAGTGCCTCCCTGAAGTAGCCAGGTTTAATTATGCAGAGAAAATTAATTTAAAGATACTGTCTGGAGAGACAGAGCTCCTGAAATATTAACACAACAACATACTGCAGTGGTGTATTCGTGTGTGTTTCTCAGTGGGTGCATGAGTGCAGAAGTTTGTTTGGTGAACTGAGGTGACTCTGCTGCATTAAAAATGTCCCTGTCTGGTTCTCCTCAGTAACGCTGCTGCTTCTGCTTAGTCCACTGAGGATGTTACAGAACGCCTTTGCCTTTTAGTGGACAATATTTCCCTGCAGGGTTGAAGTATCTGAAAATATTGTCATCGTTCTATAATTAGTAATGACTGCAGTTGTTTACATGTTGAGAACTGATAGCATACAGTTTATGTACAATATTTTTAACAGTATGTTCTCTTTCACATGGCTTCTGACTTTACAAAGTTGAAGGGAAGGCAAATAGAGAATGATGGTAAATTTACTTCAGTAGACAAATTCTTTATTCATGTTACTATCAGTATCATTTCGATTATTTCGTGAGCATTACTTTTACCAAAAGTAGAAATTACCCTGCTTCACCTTGTCAAAGTTTCTCTTTCTTCCTGCTCTCCTTAATTTGATTAAACATAAGACCTGAAATGACCTCATCATGGGGGAAACTCATACTCAGAAATTGAATAATCTATGTTCTTCCACAGAGCAAAAAACAAGAAAGAGATGGAATTTAATTACACTTCTGTCCTCAGCATACCTTTTCTTCCTCTGCTCAGCATTCATGTTGTTCTTCTGCGGTTTCATGAGGGGGAGCAAAGAAAGAAAGGAAGAAAACGGGCTGCTTTCTCTCCTAAAACAATCAAATCAAATGGTTTACATTAATACTTTTGCAGTGAGGATTTACGAAAAAAAAGAAACCTAATAGGATAACAGAAACCAAATGCATGCCAGAACATTGCATTAGTGTAATTGTTTGTAGAACATGGTTGTCAGGTTTTAAGCCTTGACCCGGTCACACGCATTACAATAATGACATTTTTCACCTTTGACCAGTTTAGTGCACTGCTGTGCTTTGTTCACATGGAAACTAGGAAGGAAAAATATTTCATGGCTCAATATATCGATTTTCGGTCATACATCAGTGCTTGTTTTGTGAACTGTCGATACTTCAGTCATGCATACCGCCTCTACAGAAAGAACTACGACATGATGCAAACAGGGAAGGAGGAACTGGAAGGTGGAAGTGGAAAGGAGATTTGTTTCAGAGTTTTTTTGTTTGTTCTAATCGGGGCACTACAGGTCAGAACTTACCTCTGTCCTCATGTCACCTCTAAATCCCAAATGACTTACCCCTGAGCGCCGTGCCAAAATAAACTCACGCTGTAGATGGAGCCTCATGACCATCACTAACCTGATGGGGATGTTGATTTATCTCCCAACGTGGAACATCTTGCGATGTGACTCACAGATTACTGATGGAGTATTTCTGTTGCACTATAATTATCATAATAACTTGTTTACATGTTTGGCTGTTGTTAGGCTACCAATGCACTGATGTGTGCCTGGTGTGGATGTTAGTGGCTCTGGATTAGCAGGATCAAGGAACCATGACAGTGCAGCAAAAAGAAAACTTGGAGTGGAGTTTATTAAGTCCTTTGTATGGGTCAAACAACAACAAAAAAAACCCCCAAAAACAATGGATCCTGTGTTGCCAAGTTCAGGCCATCAGATAAATCAAGACATTTACAAAGGTGGCTGTTTGAGAGTTAAAGATACTATTACTCTTCATGTTTTTTTTTTAATCCATAAAAGTTGGGTTTTATTACACTGGCTTGCAGATTTCTGTTGATGTGAGTGTTTCATGTTTGTTTCTTAGGCACTTATTCCATATTATCAAAGGTAAATCTCATTGATTTTACTCACAAAGACTGTTGAAGGACTTAGATGGGATTGAAAACATGAAAACATTGTATTAATGTCTTTTGTGTCCCCAGGGACAGAGACTGAGGTAGACAAGGTTTAAAATGAAAAAAAAAAAAGATTTAAAGGTTTAAAAGGGAAAAAAATACTTTAAAAAGTCTAGTAGACCTCTATAGCCTGCTGCTCATCTCTATTATCCATATCTCTATGAGACCTCTACCTTATGTTTATGACATTGTGACTTTTTTCTAATTCTACATATGTTTTATTTATTCATTTATTTATTTATTTTAAATATTTTTCCTTTCTAATGTCTTTGTGTTATTGCACAGCCTGGAAAACAGTCACTTTGCATTTCACTGCACCTTCTGTATGAGTATGTGATGAATAAAACCTTTGAATCTTGAATGTCATTTGAGGCCAGAGGCTCTAGATTCCAGTAGCCACTACTTGCACTGCACAGTCAAGTCCATGGTTGGTAAGATTGTGGGTATTGTAGGCACCAGTTTAGAAAAGAAAAGGAAGACTTGGGGGGAAAAAAAGAGAAAAAGAAAAAAAAGGCTGCTTTCTCTGGTTCTGCTTTAAGAGCAAAAGCCAAAGTTCCACAGTTGTAATTATAGCTTCAATGTTAAACGCATTTACAAGTTTGAAAACTTGAAATTAAAATGAAAATACCTCTGATATGGCATCAACACAGCATTAGAATTGTACTGAACAAAAAAATATGAAAGCAGCATGCTAATGGTCTTTTATCTGGCTTAGAGAAAAAGTAAAAAACTCCTATTTCTGTTCTTATTGTTAGAAAAGGTTATATTTAGCCACTTGTGCACAAAAAGTGGAAAAAGTAACAAAGGGAAAGATGATAATGAACTGAATGCTAGTATGTTAGTTAGAGCTGGAGCCAGGCATTTTCATGTTCACAGCTTCACCATTTGTTGTCTAATAATTCATATCAGCATGGTAAAAAAGACAATTTGCCACATGATGTTCTGGATAACCGACAAAATGATTCTGTCTCCCAAAATATCTGCCAACCTCATCAAGACCAGGACAGCCTGCCACAAACCTGCATCAACAACCTGCACTACAAGATGCAGACATCTAATGCACGGACAATCTTCCCTTTATCATTTCCAATATAGTGCATACTTGGCTGTTTCCTGGCATTCTCTCTGTTGTAGAGATGTCGTGTAACAATAAACACTTGTGTTTAAAAGAAAGGATAGAATTACATGAAACATTATATGATGCATCCTGCTGCCCCCACCATGATGCCTCCTGTTACAAAAGGACAATAAATTCTAATAACTTGTTTAACTGTAAACTAAATTTTATAATTCATCCTACATCCACCCAACCGGTTGAGGCAGATGGCCGTCCCTCCCTGAGCCTGGTTCTGTCGGAGTTTTTTTCCCCCTGCGGCGGTTTTCGGTTCCTTCCCACTGTTGTGGACTGCTTGTGGACTGCTGAAGCTTATAGGGAATCCAAATGTTTTGGATTGTTGGGTGTTTCTGTCTCTGCCTTTGTGAAGCGCTATGAGATGACTTGTTGTTGTAAATATGCGCTATACAAATAAAATTGAATTGAATTGAATTGAATGCATCTATATGGATAATTAGTGACGATTTAAAATAGACTCATGAGGACAACATGTGACTGAGTCACAACAGTTTCATCTTTTTTATTTTTCTGACATTGCTGGGATTCAGTTAGTGCTTGACCCTTTGTAGCATTTAATTTGCCAGAAATTATTTGTCAAATGACATTAAAAGCCACAGGTTATAACAGTATGTGTGATTAAAACTTAAAGTGTCCTCTTTGTATTCTTAACTTTGTTTCCAAAAGCATGCAGATTCATTGTTGTGTGTGCATGCATAAGCATGTGTTGCAAATGTTGGTGGACGGTCGTCTGCTTTTCTCTGTTTGTCTTTCCTGAGGGTATAACCGACATGCTGAGATGTATTAGAGAGACAGACAGGGACAGAGGGAGCTACATAATGTGACGGCGACCTCCATCATCTGACATAATCAGGATGAATCAGTGTGTGCTGGGTTACATAAGCAGATTCTCATCCTAACTTCACCCTTGCTCAGATTAGAAGCACAGCACACTCAGCTGCCAGCAGCCTGCTGATACCATCCTGCAGGCATGAGGGCTGAAACAACAAGAGAAGACTGCCACCTGAAGCCCAAAGCCTGACATTGCACTTGGTATTTGCATCTTTTGAAAAACTGTGTTTTGTATTCACACTGCTCTCATTTTGCCAGCCCAGTTTGTAGAATACAGCATAAATAATATACATATATCCCATATATATACATGTATATCCCAACAAGCACTGGGCAAAAGTTGAGGTTCACCCTGGATGCGTTTCATATCCCTCTTACTGCTCACACCAAGAAACTGACAACTGTGTACGCTTATACTCATCTACAGTCAATTTAGAATCAACAATTGACCTATCATGTATAGTTGGGATTGTCTGAGACAAAAGATAGTAAATAAGCTATGAATAATCCTACGCCAGGAAGTAGTTTTACAGCATTAGAAGTCTTTATTTTGGGAATTACAATGACAGTAACAACACATGAAAGACCTTAAAGCACTTTTTTGAAAATATTTAAACATTGTACAATATTATAGAGTCTTCTTTTGATATAAAAGATCACGATAATAAATATGCTACTCATTTTCAGATGAAGATAAACAGCTGAGAAAGATGCAAATTATGTACAGCTTTGAAAACTTAGAGAAAAGAGAAAGAAAAAGGCATACATGCATTTTTTTCTTAAATTAAAACTTATGAACAAATAGAAAAAATACATAACCCTACATTTAACATGGACTTTATGGCGTATTTAATTAAAGCTTTGTTACTTCATCAGTAAGCTGTGAGCTCCTACTGGATATATTACTGTGTGTTGTATTATAACCCACATTAAGTTATTTTGTTAGTGTTCACATGCCGCTGTATAGATGCCCACAGTGTGTACAGTGTTTGTCGAAGTGACCTTTATTGCTTTGCTTTATACACGCTGTCTTTAAATTATAAGTATATGGTCTTGTATTGTAGCTGCTTGCACTTCTAGAGGATCAATTTTTAGACCTTAAGAGCGAGGACATCTTGCCAGTTTTTCAGTTGGTTGAATAAGTAGGTCTTGGTTTTTGTGTTTGTGTCTATGTTTAGGAGTAAGTTTAGGATGAGGATTGGAGTCGGGCACATCGTTGTGCTGCTTATAAGGGGAATCATTACACCATTAAAGGTCCTATAAGTATAAATCTGTGTGGCAGGCAAGTCTTTAAATTTCACTGTAATATGTTTCAACATTGTGTCTATTGACAGTGTTCAAATGAACAGTTTGAGATCATAGGGAATTAATTTTAAAAGCCTTGACTCTAACATTAAAATGGAAATGCACCAATTTTGAACATCAAAATCTGTTCACTGCTGCATTTGTGAATAAAGTTGGATCAAGCTGAAAACGATCAGATAAATTATCAATTAAAATGACATTACTTCACTTAACATCAGACAAGCTAGCTTAACTGACCTCTAGCCTCTTCCTATTGGTTGCTAGAGGCCACATCATAAAGCCAGTTCAGAAGTGCCTAAAACCTGCATCTTTTCTAGCAACCACCAGGGGGCAACTCCTCTGGAAAATAAGTCAGATTGTATTGAACTCAATGAGAAAAACCTTCTTTCTCACTTGATTTGTCACCTCTGAAAATTCTCCAAATGGATATATGGTCTCATTTGCTAGTTTCAGGTCTCCTTGACTACAGCATAATGCTCATATCTGAAATTATGGTCTGATTTAGAGGAAAATGGAAGATAAAACAGGATATTATTTAGAATGTGGCAACCTTGTGATCGAAAAGTTGCTATTATATGGGTGTGCAAAGTGACCTGAAGTCCTCAGTCAGATTCCCTCACTTGTCATCTCTGGTTTCTAAAGACCAACAAGTTGATGGCCAAATTCTAACTCAAGACTTAATGGTCTACAAATGTGTGGGTGATGTCATCCATCTTTTATATAGTCTATGGCAATTATGCTCTTCACAAACCCAGATCTCTGACTCACCTGTTGGCTGTCTAGTTGGTTTATGGATAATATTGGTTAAAATATGATATTTCTCATTCTGCTGCATCTTTTGATGCTTTCTACAAACGGTATTTATCATTTGTGGATATCAAGTGAATGTTAAGGCTTTGGAATTTGAACTGAGTCATTTGTTTTTTTAAATAAACCCAAAACAGACAAAACATTTTTGGAAATGACAACATGGCAGTGTGTCCAAGTCCCAGATTCAGTCATAAGTTGTTTAAATGGCAGAGCTTTGTATTTTTATGTGCATGTGTGAGCTTCAGGTGTGTCTCTTCATGTGCAGAGCCAGATGGTCTGAGCGAGAGAAGGCCCTCTGACACAGCAGACACTCGTAGGGTTTTTGACCTGTGTGCTTGCGGTAGTGACGCGTCAGCTCGTCTGAGCGGGCAAACTTCCAGCTGCAGCCCTCCCATGAACAGTGGTAAGGCTTCTCCCCTGATAATTAAACAATATTTCATTATTATTGTTATTAAAGATTGATGAAATGAATTTACGTGCTGAGATCTGATGTCTTGTCTGGTTACCTGTGTGAGTGCGAAGGTGAGCCTTGAGGTGAGAGCTCTTGGTGTAGGTCTTGCTGCAGCCGGGATATTCACAGCTGTGGATGGCGGGCCTCTTTTTCCCTGTCGCTCTCCTGCCACGCTTCCCCTCCACCCCACCAGGGGGCAGCTGGGGTCCGACCAGCAGGGGCTGAGGGTGAAGGGACAAATGTCCAGCGGCCTGGCTGTGGGTGTAGTCACAGAAAAGGCTGGCGTTGTGATTAAAGTGGGGCATGTAGGTGTAGTGTCGGGGGTCTGGGGTCACAGCTTGAGGTAGCATGAACCTGCTGTCAGGGAAGGTCATCATGGAGGGGAGCTGCTGGGGATAGTAGGGGTTGAAGTCCCATGATGTGACCTTACTGATGCTTCCTCTGCCGTGCGCGTCCATATTTCCTCCATGGGGGAAGTCAAACTGATTTACATTATGTACATTAGGAAATGAAGTCCGACCTGTTTGGTCGTCACTATAACCTCTGTGGTACAGCTCTGGCTGGACTGTGGTGGCCTCAGGAGGTGACAGGAGCTCAGCCATGAGGCTCCCACTGTTCATCTGCAGACCTTCCTGCCCTGCTTGGTCCTTAAACATGGCCGCCTCATGGTACACTCTGCTTGGGTCGAGCTGTGGGAGCCGCTGGGTGTTGCTGTCCAGAGAGGGGTTGAGGTCAGGCGAAGGGCTGCTCCAGTCTGACAGCAGGAACTCAATGTCCCAAGATGCTTGGCTGTCATCATCCAGGAGCTCCTCTGCCATTTGTTGAGAGACCTGCAGCTGCTCAGAGCTGCTTGGTGACAGTTTGCTGCTCGGAGGGTCCAAAGGAAGAGAGCCTCCATCAGACTTCCACACCTGAGTGGTGTTGGAAAGCAGTGAGAAGAGATGATCAGTAAGGATAACGTGTGAAAAATGAAAACTGCACATTCAATTAGCATTTAGATGACAGATTCATAAATGTGTAACCCATCTTTATTGCTGTTTTAGTGTTATTGTTATTGCTTGCTGCAGTTGTTCCTCTCTTCTATACTGACTGTAAAGATATTCTTCTATACTGACTGTAAAGATATTCTTTTGTGATAAGTGTCCAATCCAACAACTTCATTATTTAAAAAAACATTTTTTTCTAAAGTTCACTTGAAGCCTCATAGCCGCTCCTGTGTGGAACCAAATCAAGTGGGTATTTTCTAAATTTACAGTCTTTATTGTACAAACTTTTGTTGCGGAAAAAATTAAACCTTGTATTAGAAAAACAGACTTACCAAAGTCAAATTGCAAAAATTACATATTAGATTCTGCTGAATTTTTTTTTTATTATTTATTTTTTTACAGAGACCAGTTAAGCTGAATTTTATCCTCTATCACTGACATTAAAGTTTATTTAGAAAAGGAATTTTGTGACCAGTATGAATTGGAAAAAAAAAAAAAAAAAAAAAAACGGGACTGAGTAATGAATCCAAATATTATCAAAACTGCAAATTGGCCAAGTGCAATATTCAAACTGCAGGAGTTGCATTATGATAAAAGGCAAAATGTATTGCAACATACGATTATAAATGAGTCATTGTGGTGCTACAGAGACACCCTGGCTACAAATTATATTATCCAGATGTCATGAAAAATAATTGTTTGGTACAGCAAAATTATATTTGTTCCACTTGGGGAAAAAAATGCAAAAATAACTATTCCCACTAAGAAAATTGTCAAAATAATCTAAGCATTATTATCATTTTTAATTTTGTTTTTGTACATTATTCAGCCCTAACAGGAACCACTACAGAGACCAGTTAACCTCTTTAGTGCACATGTAGACATGTGGGATTAAATTTACTTTCATTTAGGATTAAAGCAAATTAATAAATACAGTAAACCAACATTTCCCTCCCTGTAGCTCATCAGAGTTACTTCAAACTCTAATGTTTTTCATAAGCTGTTCAACTCATTTTGCATCAGTTTAGATGTAAAAGTTTGTTAAGTTCTACACTGCAGTGAAAGACAGACATGTATGTCACATAAACTTTAAATAAAGTCTACAAATAATCAACAGAATCATACAGATCATACAATTTGTGGTTCACTTAGATATACAGTTGTTTTTACCGCTTCGGCTCCGAACAGTCACTTCTTCAAGTAAAGTAGTATGTTTCTGTGTGAGGAAATGAAATATCTGAATGATACTTACTTTCATATTGTCACTGGAGTGAGAGAGGTTGGAGAACGAGCTGAAGGACGGGAGCACAGCCTGGGTAACAGCCATCAAGCACTTTGATATGGAGGCAGGTGCAACAAACAACAATAACAGTGAAGTTTCTTGTTTCTTTTTGGATTTTTTTTCCTTCTTTTTAAATTTTTTTTAACATGACTGTCTTGCCCTGAGCTAACGGAAAGGCCTGTCGTCCCACTTACAGTCTACTCAGTTCTCGCTAAACCTTCTGTCTCCTTTTAGTTTTATTCCTCCTTGCGCTATCTTTCCCTCCTCTCTCTTGTCTATCTCTGTCAGCTGCGAGTCCAACTTCAAATCTCTCTTTTTCCTGTAGGTTTTGACCGTTAGGAGGTGGAGCATAAGTGTGAATTACTTAACTGGCTTCTTTTTCTTTATCCCTTAACATTGGTTATTTGTTAGAAACTCTCTCTCTACTATCTCACATCAATTCACTGTCTTCCTGATCTCTGGGATTTTAAAGTTAAAAAATAAAAAAATTCTGAAAACAGGGATGCGCATCAAACTGTCATTCCACCTTGTATATTTGAAGAAATGCCAAGAAACTTCAATTTATTTGTTATCCTAAAGCTACTTTTAGAGCTTTAAAAGATAATAACTTTACATAGGAACTAGTTGAGATAGGTACAGCAAATAAAGTCACATTTTCCTCAAAACAAAAAAAAAGATGGGCGTTTGGAAATCACATGATGATTAAAAACATGTCATTTACTACAATTTGTTTAAACTCATAATGTAGAATTTTAAAGCTACAGACAAACACGAGACAGAAATTCCATGTTGGTTTTTGGCTGTACAATGCAAAACTAATAGTAACTTTTTTTAAATTTCCTATTTATGCAACATAAATATCACAGAATGTGAACAAGCCCAACTGTCTGATATCAAAACAGGCAAACTGGGACAAAATGCAGAACAACTGTTAAGCCCATAAAACTTAAAAATAAACAGTCAAATTTTTTATCATTGATATCTGAAAAAGTATTTGAAAAATAAATATAATTAAGAAGAAATTTTGAAAAAAATAAGATATTATTCCAAATATAATAATAACAATCCAAATATTATTTAAGGACCTAAAATGTCTATAAAATGCGGTAAAATTAAGCCTGTAGTCTAACGGCGCAGTAAACAGATGATCGGCTCTTATCAGATGACTGGCCCCTATCTAATAAAGCATGCTTTGGAGTGTACGAGTTCATGTGCGGTGAAGCGGATGCACGTATCATGTTAACATAGGATGTCAATTCTTAACAGAAACTAAACATTTTGAAATTTTGTTACCTTTTATTTTAAAGCTGCTTAACATACTGTTGTTGTGATTATTTAATTATTAAACAGAGTAAACAGGTGAGCTGACGGGAATATAAACAGGAAAATTGGATTTTAAAGGTTTTAATCTAGAATAAAAAAATGAATTTCCTTTGTTTTGACTGATAACAGTTGAATGAAGTCACGTACACAGGTCGGTCTCTGTGTTCCTGGTGTGGACAAGTTGCTTCTGAGAAGACCTGTGTGTGAAAGGTGATTATACTCTGGCTGCTGTTTATCTGTGGACACGGGGCAAAGCCAGACTGCTGTCTTCACACAGATAATGAAGCCTGACTGCTGCTGATCCCCGATGAAGAGCTCAGCACTGATAAAGACTCTCTTTCCCTCAACACGAGACATCCACTGAGCAAGACTGAACGCTGTGGTGTTCAGCTTCACAGAACAGTCTCTTTATTGCCTGAAACACACTAAACACCATCGTACAATACAATCTGTTTACAGATACATGAAGGTTTACATCCAATTATTAACTCTCTTAGAACTAGGAGACTCTCAAGGAACTTTGCTGGCTTGTGGGTTCCTGGAAGAACCTTTATTTACTCAAAAATGGTTTCTGGATGATTGTTCAGGTGTCTGACTCCACCAGGGACCTATTGGTAAAATATCTGTTCCAGGCAGCTACTTTCATTGTTTTCTTTCAGTATGACTCAAAGCTTTTCAAGTTATTAAAATTAAAACCATATTTTCTGAAAAGCTGCAGGGACTTTGTATTGTTGTGCTTTTATTGATACCATTTGGTGCAACTTCTGGTCTTCCTGAATCTCTACAGACATGATGGACAGAGCAAAGTCAGCACAGAGACACATGAGACACATTAATGGGAAACACAGCAGGCTGACATCAACTGGAATTATTGGTTCCAATTTTTCTGTAAAAATATTTACTTAATAGCATGCCAAGGGCCTGGCATATAATATAAAATGATTAAATGTTTAATAGTACAGATATTTCATTTCATAGATATTACCATTATTAATTGATGGAAGCTTTAACCATTACAAACAACCCGTCTCTGTGTTACAAGGAGACACTACAGGTGAATAAAGTCATAGAAATCAACATAAAACTTTCTCAGTTGATTATATACAAAAATTGTGATTTTTTTTGTAATGTAATTCATCAGAAAATGTATCTCTAAAAATGAAAGTGAGGAATTACATATGCAACAATGCACTAATTTGCATTCATTATCAAAACAGAAATATGAATTTTGATATGATAAGAAAGAACAACACATTTCGAGAGAATGGCATTTAACCAGTATTATAATTTAAATCTACAGGCTCAAATAGACAACATTTTGTAGAATAAACACATAAAAATCATATTCAAATGCTTTCTTTTCATTAACATGAGAAAAGAAACGTTATGGGAAAATATCACAAAATCTCAAAATTGAAAATATTGTTTTTCCCCTTTAAGTGCCTGACACATTATTTAAAAAATATATAAGAATTTTTTTTTCGTTAGTTTGTTCTAAAAATGAAAATGAAAACACTTCCTTTTACTTTACATGACGCCTCTTTACCACGGAAGCGCTTGTTGTCACCTGGTTGCTATAGCAACAAGCTATCGCTCTCAGCACCACTGAAGAAGACGCTGTTGTCCTCCTGAGGTTTTAAATTATCGTATTTTCAGAGGTCTTTTCGTTAAAAAAAGGAGGTAATATATTTTTTATTTCGTGTCAAGTCATGTGTTTTCTCACCATCTCTCGTGTAGAATTAGCTCATGGTGCCTCTGGCTGGTCATTTTAAGTCACATGCAGGGAGGTTAATGTAAGCTGAACCTCAACTAGCTAGTTGTTAGCTAACACCTTGCCCTGTTTTGAATTATAAAGTTAGTTTCTAAATTCTACAGAAAAACATTAGAGCAGCAGAAATTGAAGTACAATTTTTTTTTTTTTTTTTTTTTTTCTAATTGCGAGTTTTATAGCTTTACCGTAACTAAAAAAAACTCAAGAAAACTAAAGTTAAGACAGCAAATTTGTACCATATAACACACGAATGAAAACGACGTTAAAGTTAGCCATAGTTAACAATTAGGAGAAACTTAATTTACAGACTGTTTTCTTTATATTTCATTGATGTAAACTTGTGCTACGCATTTTATGCAAAACCTTGATGCTGCGTGGAACCTACTTTCGAATTTTTTACGTCTTTATATTGTCAGTGAAAATGACATACATACATACATACATACATACATACATACATAAAAGATTTCATCCATTTTATTCTTTTGCACGTGCACCACAAAGGACTAGGTCCTGACCTAATATACTATGATATATAGACTGGTCAAATCTTTACTACATTGTCTTACAGAGGCAGAAGAGTCTGATTTATGAAGCTTTTAGTGAGCATTATTTTCAGTTGTTTATACATGGATGTGGTCTAGGGTGGTCTACAGGCCAGGAAAGCAGGGATATCTCCCCTTTTTGCATTTTTAAAGTGAGAAAGTGGGTTTTTGACCACAGTAAGGGTCCCCTCCTTTGTCTAACATTATAGCATTAAAATGAGGAAAAAGAAAGTTTCCCTTAACTTTTCCCTGAAGCTAGCTTTTGTAGTTGCAGCCAGACTAGTAATTCCCTCTGTGCATCTTTAAGTTTGCAGATGGAGACCTCCTCACAGAGTACAGCTGGCAGAGGATTGTGGAACAACCCCAGAGTCACCCAGTGCAGCAAGGAGGCCCAGGACATGCTGAGACGTGAGATGATGCCTATGCTGATATTTCATTGTAGATAAAGTAAACAAACACTCTTGGATCCAAAAGTCTGAGACCATTAGCAAAATTTTGCATTTGATTTAAATTTATTACAGAACATTTCATAACATATCATATTGCATATCACGAATTCACTTTTGCACTGCAAATTTGCACACATTTTTCTTTTTCAATGTAAAAATTTTTATTACTAGTTATTGTTATTTTCTTGTGCTTTCTTTCTATATTTTGGATGCTGCTGTGGCGTGTAATTTTCCCCAATGTGGCATGAGTTTAGTGTTTGGGGGTTGTCTGACAAACTGTCTGCGGCCCTTGGACCCAAAAAGAACAATCTTACTTTCATCAGTCCACAAAATGTTTCTCAATTTCTCTTTAGGCCGGTCGATATGTTCTGTGGCAAATTGTATCCTCTTCAGCAGGTCTTTTTTGTAACTGTGGGACTTTGCGGAGGCTTCTTGCAGATAGATTAGCCTCAGACAAGCGTCCTCTAATTGTCACAGTACTCACAGGTAACTTCAGACCATCTTTGATCTCCCTGGAGCTGATCATTGGCTGAGTCTTTGCCATTCTGGCTATTGTTCAATCCATTCGAATGGTAGTCTTCCGTTTTCTTCCACATCTCTCTGGTTTTGCTTTCCATTTCAAAGCACTGGAGACCATTTTAGCTGAGCAGCCTATCATTTTCTGCATGTCTTTATACGTTTTCCCCTCTCCAATCAACATTTTAATTAAAGCACGCAGTTCTTCTGAACAGTGTCTGGAACGACCCATCTTCCTCAGGTTTTCAGAGAGAATTGCATGTACAACATGTGCTGGCTTTAACCTTAAATAAGGGCCACCTGAATGACACCTGTTTCTCCACATAATGAATGACCTCACTGATTGAACTCCACACTGCTGTTATTTTGAACTCACCCCTTTCAATTACACGGACTCAGGAGCATGCATATCATATATGTTGAGTCTGTTGGTTTCTCTGTGTCTACTAGACCTACTGGTAAATTATTTGCCATGTAATAATATAATTTCTACCAAAAACAGTGGCTGATCTGGTTAGTCATGTTGGACTGCTCTTATTTTGAACACAACTGTATTTCTAATGACTGCAAGTTGATTTACTTAAGCAAGCCAAGGATAAGTTAATCAAATCTGACTAAATGTTTTCTGAACATTGCTTCAGTGGAAGGATATACCTCCTATACAAAGAAGTTGACATGATCAACTAATCTCCTTTAGTTTGATTGCTGACTGAGAGAAAGTTCAGAATCTAAAATATTTCCTCATTTTACATATCATGTGTTTTCAAATGTTTCTAAATTATCAAACTTTCTGATTATTTCCAGCTTTACATGAAAATATGACAGATTTTTGATGTGGTCTCAGACTTGTGGACCTCACAGCATATGAAGGGAAGCAGAGTTTATATATGTGTGTGTTCGCTTCCCTTTATATAGGCTTGTGCTTTGTATTTATTGTCATGATCTGTGCTTGTGCTCAGTGATGAAGCAGGAATCAAGACTCACCAACCTCCAGAGGAAAGAGGCCAACAAACATCCGAAGAGCGAGTTTAAAAGAGGTTGGAGGAAGCAACATGGTTTTTGTGTGACAGTAGACCATGCTTGTTCTTCCAGATTAAAAATGATTGCTTTTTTTCTAACTGTTTCCCTCAGATAGGGCAGCTTTGCCTCTGACCTCTGATCCCCCGCTGTCAAGTCCTCCCAATAAATCTGTCCAGAAACGACTGCCAGGCCTTTCTCAGAAACGCAGTGCTGAATCTTGTCGGTCCGGGAACAGCTACGAGAGAGAAAAGTTCTGTCCTGGTCCCACACGTGTGTTCAGAATTCAGAATTTATGTGCACACTGTTGGTCTTTCATTACAAAATTTAGATTATTTTTGTTCTAGGAAAAGTCTTCTTATCATCTTTTTCTCAATTTCACACTAGGAGACTTGGAGAAAGAGAAAAGGAGGCTTCAGAACATCTTAGCAACAGGAAAAGAAGAGGCCTCAGCTGCATCTTCTCAAAAAGCTGCTACATGTCGTGACCCAGAGGTGTCAGAGGAAGAGGATCGGTATCAGGAAGGTGAGGCTGAGTGCACAGAAACAGACGAGGTGTAATAAATAGAAAAACACATCTGTATATTTATCTTCATATCTGAATTTTGATGCTTTGTCAACAGACCATGAAAAAGGGTTGTGAAGCTGTTGTTGAGCTTGTAAATATCATCTTAATTCAAGATTTATAGGGTGCAGCTCTGACTAAATATATCGAGTGTGCTTTAGGTTGAGGCTAAATATTTTTTCTTTTGTAGTTCTGAATGAAATAGAAGAGAGAAGACAGTTCCTGGCAGATATGGCCTCACTGGGTCAGGAGATGAACTATATCAGCATTATCAACACCGAGATATCACAGGTAAACAGTCTGTTTCGAACTGCCTTGTGTTTTGGGAATGTTTTTTTGTGCCAAAGACATTTTGACTTGACTGATTCATTACGTATGTTTTGTGTTGTGTTACTACAGTTAGATGCAGACAGACAGATGAGTAGCAATTTAAACCTGCAGTGTGGAGGTTTTATCTCCCCCTTCTGGCAGTGAGATGAATTAAACAAACAGTGGATGTTGTCACTGTTTAATTGCTTTCTTTTTTACACTCCTCAATCTGAAGGCAGAGTTTCTTTTTTGTGGAGCATCAGAGAGATTTTTCGGATGCTTTTTAGATTTTTTTTCCCATCATAGGCTTTAACATACTTCTCTTTGCTGAAGCCTACTCCGTCTCTGTCACTACAGTTGCTCCCCTCTTCAACAATAGTGAATCAATAATTGTAGATTGACATAAAATTTGATGCCCGATTTATCACACAATACAGAAAGTTTTACCTGGTGCTGTTGGCTAATTTAGGACCGTGTTAACTCATTTGGCCAGACCTTAAATCTTAAATTGAAACAGTGGTTCATTTATTATTTCAAGTCCCACACTACAGCTTTAAACAGATAAAACAGCACTAGGTTCTGATTCCATGCAGCCTGACAAACAGAAGTTTTACTTATTCTTTCTGAAATACTTTTTCCACTTAAACCTGTGCTGTTTCTCGGCTCTGCTGACAGAAAATCCGAGAATTGGAGGCGTTGGAAAAGGCCCACAGTTCCAAGTAGTATGTACTGATGGAGTGGAGAACAGACGACAGAAGCTGTGGCGGCAGAGAAGACTGACTGGACATGTTGTCAGGTTCTTTAAACTCTTCACCTGGAAGCCTTGGATACCTTCAGTCAAAACTATTCAGCACAGGCCTTTGAATGTGAGGAGTTAAGTGTGAAATTTTGAGCGTCATGTCTGCAGAGAGGCTACAACCTCAATTTCCGCTTTGTGCTTCAACAGTATAGCAGTGAAAACAACAAACATGATCTACTTGCATGAACATATTTTATTCCTCTGCCTTCCAGTGTCAGTATTTTATATAATCCTGCTGCTGTTTTAGGACAATGTTAGCTGAAAAAAAGTGTGGTGCTACAGAAGCCCTTGGTTTCAGCCAGACAGGAAGACAGGCACAGAGCAGACAAATACATAACCTAGATGACAAAACAGGAACAGGATGAGTAAACTTACAGACATTAGCTTTAGCTGAACAGATGATGTTCATCCACATATGCAATTAAATAAATGGCACTCAGTCTTAATATTAACATGTTGTTTTTTTCTATCTGTTTTAAGGCGAAACACAGAAACATACAGAAAGGCATAATAAAATATAAAATTAATGATTGCATATTCAGGTTCCCCCCAATGGTTAAAACTGTTATAAAATGGGCTACCATTGATAAAATACTGTTATTGCATGTGTGACCTTTCATTTTAAAACAGACATCTGCAGTTTGATACTTTTGTAATATTCTACCCCCCCCCACATTTTCTCTCCAGTCACACCCACTCATAAATACTGTACCTACTTTCATAGGCATTTACACATTACTAAACTATTACTGAAGAAACTAAACAGGAGGAAACGACAAACAATATAGCAGCTACAAGTCTTTAGGTATCCATTGTTGATTGAGCATTTCGAGAGTACATGTTGGAGTTTAAAGCAAATGTCACCCAAAAACCTATTAATTTTACTAGTACCACAGATGTAAACCAGACATGACATAAAACCTCAGATATCCATCCTATGACAGCGCACAGGAGACAGGCATTAAAGGAGTGTACGTCAGGTTAAAAGTAAAACATTAAAAACTGATGGGTATCAGGGATCAACGTAAATGGACTTCATTCAAAGCAAAGTGACGAGTCCCACCTTTGCTGAACCTTGACGAAGGCCCACAGGGCAGAGTCGCTGTGCAATGCAGGGAAAGTGAAGCAAGAACATACAACAGATCAGTGCAGTAATACAGGAACCCACTCTACACTTCACTAGCTTCAATATTCAGAGCTTAAAGCTCTTAAAGCACTTGAGTTGTGAGACTGTCTCTTTGAAACACACAAAGGCAACTGAAAATAAAGTTTTTAGAAAGCAGGGAGCGGAGTCTGGGTTGCACTTAACAGTTCAAGGAGACGTCACCTTCTTGAACTGAGAAATTTCTTTTCTTGCGTCTTTTTAAAATTTCCTTAGTCTTGTTTAAACAGTCTATTATCCTCTCATGTCCTCTGCTCTTCAGCTCTTCTCCTTGTGAGGGCTTTGGTTCTTTCCTGGTTCTCCTTTATGGCTCAGCCGCTTGAGCACCTTGATGGGTTTGAACTTTGCCCCCTTTTTTTTCTGCTGGTTGCTTTCTGGATCCTTGTGAAAGTCTAAAGATAAAAATAGGAAACAATTACATTAAAGATAAAGATAACTTTACTGATCCCACAGTGGGGAAAGTTCACTGTTACAACAGCTCCAAATAAAGTGTACAGTCAGTGCAAGAATAATTGGGAACACCCAGTGCAAAATGTAGGAAAGAAACAGAAACAGAAAAACAGAAAACACACGGTGCAAAAATTGCAAGAGAAAAGAACATTATATACAGAAGATGTTTTTTTTGTTGTTGTTGTCGGTAATGATTTGGGGAAGAGAAAAAAGTGAAATTCAGCGTGGGACTACCCAATAATTGCTAAAATGACTTCATTGCACTTTGACATTTGAACAGATCACTGCTTTCACTTCCATGCTGTGCTACATTCCTGCTAATGTCCTACACACCAAGTGCATCGCCTGCAAGCAAATTTTAGAATTGCACTGAAACTTTTTGCCTAAAATGAACTGAACAGAGCACTACTTCCATGTTGTGCGCAACAGAGATGCACTGCATAGCATCACTCTAATGGATTTTTAAGTTAATGCCAGACACGAATGGTTACTCAGTGGTGTAACGTTAGCAACGCTCTTCTTCCTGGCCTTGATGCATTTATCATAGCGCAGTTAGCAGTGTTTTGTTTCCAGGTGGTTAAACAAGTCAGTTTGTTGCTTTGTGGCACAAGTACAAGTCTCCTGCAATCTTTGCGTATGATTTGTTCTTGCTTAACATCACTGGCCCGAAATCCCAAATAATTCTAAATGGATGATTTTTAAAGATTGAGAATCTGTTTCACAGGAGCATCCGTTTTGAGGGAAAAGCTCTTTACATTCTGCTCTAGACATGTGATTCAGTTTCGTCCTTTTGCTCTCTGTTGTTTGTCACTCTTCTACCGCAGCCAGAACATACAGGAAATTTTTTGCACAGGCTGCAGCTGCAGAAGTGCATGCATAGCAGCGTGACTGCTCCCCAGAAGTGAAACCGAAATATCTCGATTGCTCGCTTGTGGTCGTCTGTTCGTTTAGGAAGCTCTTGATTCAATACACAGTGGAGTTTTCTATGAGCTATTAAAACACCAATATTGCAGTTGATTATGTTCATTTAGGTTTCCTCAGACCACTTAAATTACAATATGCTGAAAGGTTAGCATGACACTAATGCCAAAATTGATACCTCAGATTTAAGATTCCATTGGCTGTGCAGGCCGAATGCCCTTATCTCAGATCTGCTACATATAAAACATCATCTTACCTTTTTTCTTCAACATGGCTTCCATAAGTTTGTCCTCCTCTTCTTCCCTGTTACAGAACAACCGTTAATTTGCTGATAGTTACAAACATCTCCACTCCACTGTCACACACGGTAACCACCAGCTATCGGTTACCTCTGCCTGTCCTGGTCCATGGTGTTGACTATTTGGTTGCGCTGTTCAATGATGGTAACCAGCTCAGCCATAAGCTCCTGCTCCCGACTCTTGTCCTCCTCAGTCCAGTCTTTCTCTGGTTAGCGGAGGGAAGAAGAGCATGATGAATAATTAAAGCTGCACTAACACATAATACAATATTAATACATAATTCTAATATATTATGCAAATGCACAAAGTAAATATTAGGCATTTTAACCATAAACACTTTGTAGGTGTTTAGAAGGTCTACACATTATTAAAGTATACACATAACTGCACATCCTTCATTCTGTCAGGGAACACGGTCAGTAGAGAGTCTTCTGTTCATCAGTGTGTAATTTGTATGTCTGCTGCCTTATTTATGGGTGGCAGAAACTACCTACGCTTTTTAAATTTTTGTAATATAATTTAAAATGACTATAATTATTTGAGGTGTGAAATCAATGATGTTACAGATTATGGTAACAGATTCCAGATGTGTTCAAACTGAGTTCTCACCTGGTTTGTTGAGAAGACACCTCAGCTCATACTCCACATCAGCCTGCCTCTCCTCCAGGTTCTGCTGCTTTGCCCTACAGTGAGCAACACAAACAGTGCGTCAGAAAATCAGAACTTCTTATTTACCGCTTCAAGCAACTTCCTGCGGAGTCTTTATGCAAAAATGAAAACAGTCAAAATAAAAAAAAAGGACTTCCAACAGAAAACATTTTATCCTTTCAGTTGTAAAGTATTAAGCACATGGCTACATACTTGGGAATTTCACTGTTTTCTATATGCAATTTGAGAATTTACATTAACATTTTGACATTAAAATATTCTGTTGTGAACTTAGTTGTTTTAGAGCAGCTTAATCTATTTCTCTATTGTCTATTAATATGCTCACATTGTTGTCCAAAGTCCTATTTTACACAAGAAAGGGTAAAATGCATAACACTCTAACCTAACTCTTTCAAAATAAGGTAAGTATCAGAGGTTAAGGGGTTAAAAACTGAAGGAAAGTAAATAAAAATGTCACTTCTGGTGCCACAGTTTGAGGACTAATAGAATTTAAGGGTCCAATGATTTCAAACAGTAGCGTCTTGCTGCAGACTAATACTTACGTGTAGACCAGCTCAGCTTCTCTGCGAACTAAAAGGTGTTTATCGTGAATCAGAGTGAACCAGTCCACCAGCAGGTGCTCCTCATCCTCGTCTGAATGCACAATAGAGGGGAGAGATAGACACATTTCTACATTTTGTCATATTTTAACATACAGGAGCACCTTTTCTCTGATTTGGTACATGCTATGATGAAAAAAGGTACAAAACTGGTCTTGACTGGATTTATTTAATATTTATTTAAAGCACAGTTGTGTGATACCGTTAGGGTTGTCTCTCAGCTTCTTCTCCAGCTCCACTCCTCTCTGCTCCAACTCATCCAGCTGCTTCTCCAGCTGACTCATCTCAACGTGGATGTCCTCGACTGGGATGTAATGATCCGACTGTACCTGAAGGGATGTTTTCACCATGTTAATACTTACTCTGTGTTTGACACATTTTGTTCCACGTTTGAAACATGCTTGTGTTTAGTTTTTATACCTTGCGTTTGATGAGAGGGAAGCCGTGGCCGGGTGCTGGGGGTCTGGCAGGACGAGGGCCTTTTGGAGGTTTCGTTTTAGATTTAGCAGGTGAGGGAGAAGCTTTCCTGTTGAAGGGGTTCTCCTTACATATCCGCTGAAAAGAGATAGGAGATGCCTCTGGATATACACAACCTGCAAGGGGTATTGCTTTACATTGGATTTTATCTACAGAGGGTGCTTTTACCTTGTTGTTTGACTGGGCAGTCTCTGTGGCCAGTGGGCTGGGGGTTGTGGTGGGCCGTGGCGGTGGGGCTTCGGGGCCTTTGGTGGCTGAATTGCGACTGGTCTGTGGGGTGGCAGGGGCTGAACTGGCATATGATGGCATGGGAGAAGGGTGGAGGCCTGGGGAGGGATGAGGCAGACGCTCGGTGGAGGAGGAGGAAGGGGAGGCTGTCGAGTCGCACGGCGAACAGATGGAAGGCTCTGAGACGCTTTTGGTGAAGGCGTGTTCCTGGTCGCTGCTGGCACTGCCGCTCAGAGGGAGCTGGGAGGAGCTGTGGTCCGAGCCGGACGACAAACTCTCTGTGCTGAGAGCTGGAGAGGGAGAGCAAGAGGATGGCTGAGAACAAGAGAGAGCTGAAGGAGTAAGGTTTGGTAAAAATAAAGAGCAGCGCAGATAAAACGGAAATTAAAGTAGTGGGACAGTTTGAAATGGAGAGAGGAAGAAGGAAAAAACAAAAAAACAGTGTCATTATAAACATCTACATAAAGCAATCCTCTCTCCTCATCTCTCCTTTTAGTCTGTCGTTTGAAAAGAGGCTATTATTTGTTCTATTTGCTCCATATTTCAACGTCATATTCACTGTTCCACTTCAACTGTGCTGCATGTTCAATTTAAGGTTGATTGAAGCCACATTGAAGTACTTCTTCCGGACTTGAAAGGATTGAAATAATCAACCAGTAAACTTTACACAGCACACAAACATAATTTGAAGATTGATTGTTCGTAGTTAGACAGGTGTGCTTTCTTTCATAGTGCAATGGATAAAATGGACTCTATGTGTAATGTTTTTCCGTGTAGGTTGTCAGTTGGTGCCGTCTTTCAACATAAGGGCATTTGTGTATTGTGGAAAAGCCAGTCAAGCAAGCTTTGAGACAATTTTATCAGATTTTGCAAATCAGCATTTAGTAAACTACGTGAAGAACCTAGTAGGGCCACAGAAGACTAAAAAAACTCCATACAACAGATCAAGAACACTGTAGTGCACAATCTCAGAAGGTTCACCATGCAACAAACAAATACAAAATGCCAGATCACAGTTGACAAACACAAGCAAATTCCTAAAAACTCATGGAATAGCACTTGTCACACAACAACAATTCTGCATTTTTAGAACCAAAAGGTTTCTCACAGGTCAGGTAAATCACATGACCTTATTTTAACGCATGTCACTTTGTGAAAAACAGATGGATGGTAAAATTATCAACAGTAGCAGTGAAGATGACTACAGCAAAGACTTGGCACAACAAAACAGAGCGTGTGGTCATGGAGACTTTACACCTGATTGACTGCAATCAGGATTTTCAATGAAAAATTAAACATGACTTAAATCATCCACCATTTACCTGAATTTGTCATATTACACCTGATTTAATAAACCAAGTGGTTAAATGTTTTATGAACACCCTTATACGAAGATGAAGCTTGGCACTTTATATGAGTTTTCATTGCAGCAACAATCCACTTACAATTTTTTGATTATTAAAAAAAAAAAAAAAAAAAAGTCCAATTAGTGCTCTATAGTTTTAGCAAATGCATGTTTTCCTTCAAAAACCTAACAGTAGGTTTGCACTGGCCAGTATTCACATTCCCATTCTGTCTGAATTAGGTAAGATGGTGCTAAAAATCAAAGTGTCTTTTATGCATTTCATCTCTCTATAAAAGGACAACCAGCGAGGCAGACATGGCACAATTAGAGGACTTTGATGTTGGTTAAGTGCAGGTTTAACAGTCCACTCATATGGTGTCTGTGGTTCTGATAAAAACCAACCTTGGTTACTGGAGGGAAGCTGTGGAGCTCGAGGCGCCGGTCGTTTTTTGTTCTTGGCGCTTCCTGGACTGGCAGAGCGGGATGAGCTTCCTGTGGGGGGAGTTTCTGCACCCGCCGAGTCCGCTGCCTTGGTGATGTTGTACCACGGGTGACTCGCCACCAGCGTTTGTGGCAGCGCTCCTCCTTCACCTCCCTCCTCTTCCTTCACCTCCTCGTTTTCATCGTCCTCGTCGTCGTCGAACGGGTTGGAGGGCTGAGGGGGTGTGCTGGGTCTGGAGTCTTCCCCTTTGAGAGAGGACAGAGAGCCTGTGTTGGGGGGTGTTGCCAGTCCAGCAGGGGGAGGGGGAGGGGCTTTCTTCTTCTTGTGTTCTGATTGGACCAGGACGAGCCAAGGTGGGTCTTTGGGTTTATGGGTGCCACTGAACAGCAGATACACAGATAGTGATGGAGGGGTCACACAGAGGGAGACAACAAAGCACATCCTTACAGAAGCATGAAAGGGCCCACAACTACTGTACATGATGAGACAAAACGCATTTCTGAATTCTCACAAGAAGAGACTATGAAGATACAGTTGAGGTAGGTGAAATGGTGGCAACAGACAGGATAACAAGTTCAGCTACCTTGCAGGAGACTGTGAGCGTTCTCGAGGTTTGGGAGGAGTTGGAGGTTTGAGATGTTCACCTGTGATTTAAGGGGACAACATGAGTATCGCTACAAACAAATGTTACATTAATCTTTATCTTAATCAGGGACGAGTACCGAAACCAGGGGCAAATTATTCAAGACCAGAGGATCATAAGCTCAGACATTATCGCTTTTGCTGTGGGTGCTGGAGAAATGAGGTAAATAGATTTATTATTGCTACAGTAGTCACACTTCGCCAGCCAATTCTGTACAACATAATGATCTGGCTGCATGATACTATCGTGCTGCTATAGGGGGGCAAAAAAAACACCGCTTGTTTGTATTTCTTTGAATCAATCACAATCGACATGGGTGGAGATAAGTGAAGGACGTGGCTTTGGCGTTTCCTCAAAATAGTCACGGGTGGAATTCTTGCGGGGAAACATTTGCATGCAGAGAGATGAACACTGTAATTAAAATGGATCCTTGGCAAAACTTCGCAGAGTGGTAGGATGCTGCCTGGAGGTTGTTATTTCCTGCAGCACAGAAAATGGTAGCACATAGATCGTGGAAGGGAGGGAGACTGCCGACCTAAATGACAGCTTATACCTGCAACCAACATCTGGTGACTCAGACTATTGATACATAAGTGTTATCTGGCACATTTTATCTCAACAACTTTGTTTCTAATTTGTCTATGATGCATTTCCACACACAGACTCTGCTCTCGTTGACAATGATAAAGAGAAGTAAATGTTCAAAAGTTTTGCACGTAACAGCAGAAACAACATCAATCTGTCCAAACATCCGGCAAACGTTCATTACATCCAGGACAGATTTGTACAGTTTTTGACTGCCTGGCTAGTAGTTATTCTCTTCTTGTACCAGATATGTGTTGTATGCTAGAGCTGACTAATATATACAAACATAGCTTCATTATTATCTGAAATGGTCAGAGCATCATCTGAACTGTCAGTATTTCAGATATTCAGTTTTAGAGCATGCAGAGCAGAAGGGATTTAGTGATTTGGGGGCTGCAGACAAACTCTTGTCTGCACTGGAGTTAGCAGTAATGGAAGAAGGACTCTGTTATGCAAAACTACAAATACCACAGTAAAAACACTGTCAAAGGAGAACTCTTGCAGTACATTTTTTTTCTTCTGACAACAGAAAGACAGAAGAAAACACAAAAAAACCTAAACAAAAAGTACTGATAAGTGTACAGTTCAAGTGCCAGAGTGATGGGCAACATCAGTAAGAGCAGCAGTACAGTTAAAATCTTAATGATACTCATCCCTAATAACATTAGTAATAATATATATTCTGGGATAAGCACTTACTGGCTGTGAGTCCATCTGATGTGCGAGGTAGCCGAATCCGCGGGGCAGGACGAGGTGGAGGGGTGGGTTCAGAAACCCGGCGAGGTGCAGGTACTGGTCGACTGGCACCTTCAGCATGACTGACAGGTGTAGAAGGGACGTCCCCATTCGCTGTACATTTGGCTGGTGTTTGTGTTTCTTCCTCTTTTTCTCCTTCATCCTCCTCTTCATCACTCTCATCAAAAGGGTTGGGAGGAGAAGAAGAACGTGGCGTCTCCTCCGTCTCTGCATTACCATCCATCTCTTTTACTGTTTCCAAAGAGTCTGCTGCGTTTGATACGACAGGAGCGACAGTGTCAGAGTCATTGGCAGGAGTGTCAGTATCATTTGATGGTTGAGGAGTCTGTTCCTGGTCCCTCTCAGAGGGCACAGAGTGATGAAACCGACCAATCCTGGCAGACTGAACCGCTGGTGGTCTCTTACTAAGATCTGGCCGGCCGTTCTGATTGGCTGTAGCGTGCCTTGTAATGTGATGTGTGCAGACCAGTGCTCCAGAGTCACTTCCTAGTTTGTATGATCCAGGAAACAGAGTGCTGCGACACTCTGTGCACCTGAGATGACAAAGATACAGATTAATAACAGACATGAGCACAAGTCTGACACAGTAAAAGACAAACCAATCGATTGATGTATGAAATGTACGTAATCCAACCATTGTTTCATTTCTTGTTCAAATAATCCTCAAGATTTTCCATTAAAACCCCTTTTTTAACACTAACTCTTCAATACCTCTCTATGCTGTAAATCAATAGTTGTGACATTCACCATTTCAGAGCTGGATTCACAAGAAGCGATGTATGCATGTATTACCAATAAACACTAGTTCAGGACGACTGGATGATAATATCAGTTATTAGCTGAGTCTATCATCAGCTAATTTTTTTGCAGACTTGTTATTGTTCAGAAAAAAATCACTAGTTCACGTCTGCATTATCAACTGTTTTCATTAATATGTGTAAAAATGTGACTTGGCTTCAACTTTTTTTTTTCAACATTCAACTCACCAGTAATCAGAGATTGTTTGATCTACTTGTCCAATGTTACAGATTCTAAATCAGTGGCATGATGGGAAATAACAGTAAAAAAAAATCCAAGCTTTTATCTTTAATAGTTCCTGTGATACTGTCATTCAAACACAGGCTCAAATTTCTGCAGTTTTTAAATAAAAATGATCGTAGAAAGCATTTGATATATCACTCTAAAATTTCACAAATATCTTTATACATATCCATACTTTTAAAATGAAAAATTTAAGAAAATTAGAGATGGTTGAGCAGGAATAACCATTGTTTGCTGTAATATTTAATCCCATCTGCTGTTACTGTGGCTGTCACTACATCACCCACAACTACAATATAACTTCAACTTTCGTACATTTTTTTGTCTCTGCAGTGTTAGAAATATGTTGTGGTTCCACAGCTTAGCTCCTGATGGCAAACAGTAGCTCACCTGAAACAGTTGCGATGGTAGAGCTTGCCGTCTACCAGAAACCTCTGCACCAGGTGGACGTGCTTCTGGCAGGCGGCGCAGGTGCTGCTGATGGTGCTGCGCCTGGCTGCTGTGAACGCTTCTGCACCTGTCTGCGCAGGCTGGACCGGGTAGTATAAGTGACCAGGACGTTGTTCACAGGAAGGGGACAGGGAGGAGACATCACGGGAAGGGGGGAGATGGAGAGTAATGGGGGAGGGCGAGATCATACACGGAGTCAGGATTTGAGGATGTTGGATTTGTCATTCTGCTTAGCCAGCCACGTCTGCTTGGTTACTGTACTGCTCACTGATTCATTGTCTTTTAGCTTAAAACATCTGATTAATACAAAAATGTACGTCATGGTAAAAAAGTGCGTATTAGTAAAAAAGTCAAACAGCTTGGGTTAGTGGCTCTGGGAGTCACTTATTTTGCCTATGATTGAGATATATATATGTGTGTGTATGTAAGTACTCTATGTTTTCAGGCATAAGGGTTTTTTATGCGTTAAATAAATCAAGGGGTTAGAAGCAGCATCTTCCAAAACTTGGCACACAGTGTTAAGATAATACAACTGTTAGTCTTTTACGTACAAGAGACTGTTAAAAAAATAAATAAAAAGACTGACCTAACAGTTTTTCTTTCACCTCCTAGCCCACCCACCCTCCCACCCCCACCCTACTGCCTAGGCTCAGGACCAGAGAGTGGAGGGGGGATCAGATGTGAGGAGGAAGAACAGGAAGAGGAGGGAGTGGAATGAGTTTCCATCTGAAGAGGGGGAGGAAGGGTGAGGGGATGATGAGGCGGATGCCAGTACACAGGAGCAACGGGATGGAGGAAAGAAGTTGAAGGCATGCGAAAGAAAAGAGAGACAGGATACAGAGGCTATCTTTATGGACTTTTTCTACCGCTATGGCTTTGCTTTTTTCCCCTGCTGTGCGACACAAAGCTCACATAAGGAAGTGGGTTTATAGAAATCCATATGTGGGTATTCTACATTGTTGTAGTGAAATGACAGGTTTATATAGCCCTGATGACTCTACACCCCAAAATAGTTCATGCACAATGACAGTTATACATTCCAAGGCTGCACATACATGTTAATATACTTCTTGTACTTTCAGTGTGCTTATCCACGCCACATCAGGCAATTACAAACAAAATACCATGTGAAAACTACAGCTTGCTACCATGCAGCTCCAGTAGATATCATGCAGACCTTATGGAGTTTAGTGGGGACTAAAATGTACCATCTATCTATGATGTAACTTAGGGCTCCAGACTGCAACCTTTTTTTGAGAGTGTGAGTTGAAATTTCAAGTGGTCACATTGGTGCATGATGATCAATAAGCTGTATTAGCGTCGCTGTAACCAGCACAGGAAGCTGCCCTGTTAACCACAGTAGTGGAAAACAATACTTTTATTACTTCAGTGGACTATGGTATTAATGCTTAAAAATGCAGTCATCTCGTGAAAAACGGAGCGACCTGCATTCACTGTTTTTTCCGCTCATAGAAAAGAATGCGTGTGCAAAAAAAATGGTTGGTTTGATCTCGGACAGATCTGACATTAGAACGCCCTAGTTTGTTATTTTTAAAGTAATTTTTGGTCGCACACCTGTCTGAGCACACCACAGCCACCTTGCAGCATCTACCACAGCCTGCAATGTGGGGCGTTCAGGGAACATCGGTAAATTATAGTGTCTATCGACAAGAAAATGTTCAGCAAGTCAAGACAAGGTGGGAGGTGCGACCAAATGGGAAAGTTGGTCGCACCGGTGCTACCAATGAAAAAGTTAGTCTGGAGCCGTATAACTCTTGTTTGTTTGCAACTTTTCCTGGTGCCAAGTCTTATACTTACCTCAGTCTCAACCACTTTGTCTTCCAAAGGGGTCGGAGGCCTTTTCTGGGCCGGCTCATTCTGACCGGCAGAACTCAGCCTCTTCAAACACGGAGGGTTTGCTGTGTAAAGCGGAAGCCGAGGAAATAGTCAATTAATGACATAAATTAATCATGTAAGTTGTCGTTACACCCACAAATTAAACTGTTCAGTCTCACGGCATGCTGAGGGTTAGGCAGTTTGAATTTTGATAATGAATCAAAGAAAAACAACATTACACTGTAACAGAAATTTATTTCTATTACATTTATAATTCCTAGGATTTGCTACACTTATTTGTCTTGTAACACTTGCTTTTTGAAATCGTTTTATCCTTTATTTTTCTCTGTATGGTCGTGATCATTATTAGGCACCAAAACACCACATTTCTTGTATGTAAAAAAAATCTAATCAATTAAACTGCTTTTTAAATTTTTCTGCAGCGTCCTACTCATGATCACAGTTTATACCTTTAAAATATATGGGCAAAGAAGAAAAAACCTTACTGATCATTTAATAACCAGATTAAGAGCAAAATATTATGTCTTTAATGAGGTTCACACTGCTGCAAGTCAAAGGGAACTGAATTAACTGCACTCACCTTGAGACTTGTTGTTAAAGAAGTTGTAGTACTGCGAGACGTATGTGATGATGCTAAGCCGGTCAGGTACTTTCATGGACACCATGTCTTCTGGGTCCAGCAGGGCTGGAATACCCAGCTGAGCTTCAGCCACTTCAAACGCCTGCGGCAAAGCAAAGATAGAGGAAAGGAGTAAAGTAAAAAGAGGTGGGAAGAGTAGAAACGAGAGCAAAAGTTGCAGATAAGTAAGAAGCAGAGGAAGAGTAAACAGTGAGATTACAAACATGTCAATCATTCAAAAACAACCAATAATTTACACACTTAAACTACCTAAACTAAGTGCTTTAAAGATCAAAATCTGATTCAGCACAAGTACCCCAGTGACAGACCCAAATTACTGTTAATGTCCCAGCCTGCTGTGGCGTTTGAGTCTGATTTCTGTCTGTATTTTGGAACTAGTTCCTTGTTGTAAGTGGTTGCAAATTAATTGAACAAATATTACTTTTTGCTGCTTCAAGCACCACAAACAGAATTGCATTTAATTTTTTCTCAGAGACTGATAAACCTCTGCAAATAAAACCAGATTTAATTAAATAGCTCAGTACCACCAGGGCTTAGTCAGATGGTGTACTTCTTTTTTGTGATCTGGGTAAACCTACCCTTTAATTACAAACAAATGATGCAGAAACTAAAGTTTGATTAAAACATTCCAATGGTATCCAGTAACACGACTTTCCCTGACTGATGATGATTCTCTGAATAATCTAACCCTACTGCCAAAATTTGCACATGATGTTTATAATAGTTTGTCCTCTGATGAGATAATAGTTTGTCATGTGACAAGCAATCGTCTTGTGAAAAATACTGCTGCAGAAATAAGAGTGCAGATAAGGTCACATAGCATCACGAGCAGCCACAAAGCTCTGAAATAATCCAGCCAACAAATGCTACACGTGATTAAAGTAAAACAAGATCTAAAGTAATCAAAATACATTGTGTGGTGGTTCTCTTTTTTTCCTATCTAGTAGAGAAAAAATGCTTTACACTGATGATGCATCATTTACAACACATGAGCTTCACAGGCAAGAAAGTGGCCTAAATTGACATTTGTTACCTTTAGTTAAATGACAACAAAGCAGTTTTATATGAAGCTATTTGAGTTGAAATGCAGAAATTATGAAAAAAAAAGTTCTGATTGGTACTGCAGTCCAAAATATACACATTTTAAGAACTACATCTTTATAAGCTGCTCATATTAAGATGGTAAAACTCTTTTCTCTTTTGAAAATAGCAATTTGCAGTACACACTGGATGGGAGCATATTTCAGTGTCAATGACATTTTAAGATTCTTATTATTATTCTCTCAAAAAAAAAAAAAAGACAGCAAGATGCCATGAGTGAGTGAGTGAGTGAGTGAGTGAGTGAGTGAGTGAGTGACAGAGTATAAACATATTGAGAAAAATGAAACTGACAGTAATTTCATTTGCTGCCGATATATATTGTAATTCAGTGTGATTTTGAAGGCTGGCAGTACAGTGCATTCTGCAAACGGTAGTCTCCACATGTCTTATGAACAGGGTCAAAAGTGGGTTCTGCTCATATTTAGTCTACTTGCACCTCCTATATGAAAAAGGATTAGAAAATTAATCCCAGAAGTCAGACAATCATGAATACATTCATGAAGTTCACATTTGGATCTTAAAAATGGTCAAATATCATTTCGGAGCTTTGCACGCTTTTAACATTTGCATCCACTCTAGATTGGGCATTAGGACTACTTTTTTGTTTTTGTTTTTTTGCCAAAATGACAGCCAGAAAACTGTCTCACTTGTCTTGAAAGCTGCAAGATAAAACGAATGTTAACAGCAGCAAGGAACTGCCAAAGCTTAGCACAAAAATGAAAATGAGGAGACTCCTGTTTCAGTCCTTAAAGTTCTGCTGGCTTAGAGGCAAAGTGGAAAATTCAACTAGGGTGCAAAAAAAAAAAAGTTTTTAGCTGGTTTCAATCTACTCACTTACAAAGTTGCAAATTCAGCACTTTTGCACTTTTAAATCCACGCTCCATGGTCTCTCCACAGGCGTGTGTCAAGAATTTTCTTTCTTCCTGGCCCTTAGTGCTCTGGCTCCCTCCCTCTCCCTCTTTGCCCTCATCGGGCAAATTAGGTAACAATCTCTCCACACATACACAAGTTACACCCACCATGACTGCATGAAGTTGTAAGGCTTAATAATTTTATGGCTGAAGCACAGGCAGAAGCAGATGCAACCCCTGAAGCTGTGTGATAGAAATAAATGAGCTCATAGGTGAGTGTTGAAGAGCAAGCTGTTCTTTAAGAAAAAAAAAATGACGTAACACAAGATCATAGAAACATTGCTCAAGTCTCAAAACATACAGCTGTAAAAGTGACTCACCAGTCGGTTGTTCTCGTAGACATTCTCTTTAGACAGTGAGCCAAAGTCTCTGGAATGACGTAAAAAAAAAAAAAAAGTCAGAGTCAGTTTTATTGCAATGTAGCTTTTTACATATAAAAAATCTGACTTGGTGTTTGGTGCGTAACAGTACCCTATAGATGACAAAAGTGTTGCAAGTCAGTAGTAAGAAAAATTAGCAGCAAGTGTAATCAAGGGATTATAAGTCATGAAAAGTAATAAAAATACTCCTAAAGTGCAGACATTTGCAAATTATTCACATCAGAATGGGCAAGAGTACATAGTATGCAATGTAAACAATGTGAAATGTGCAAAAGGAGCACAATAATCGTATTTAAAATGCTACTTGGGGTCTCTGGCCTTTTTGAAGAGGCCTACTGCTGTTGGAAGTCTGAATATGCAGGTGCACAGTTATGTAGCAGTTCATGATATCTCCTTTTATACCACGACTCATGCAGGAGATCACAAAGAATCAACTGTCCAAGCCATGCTGATACAGGATCGTACTGTATTTAGCTTGCTGACCTACTTCGACTCGTGTTATGCACCATCAAAAAAGCTATTATTGGCCTGACAGCATGACAGATAGCAACAGAGATCAGTTACATTTCTCACCTACCACAGCTGACTACTTCCAAACCACTCATAAATGATGCCTGATGCAAAAAACTGCCAGAACAAAAGGAAAGGCGCAGCTGGGCCAAACAGGAGTGATGAGCTGATAATTACAAGGCTCCGCTATAAAACGCCCGGAGTGGAGGAACCAAAGCCAGGCTCTAACCAGTAAACATCCTGCAGTAAAACTGGAAAATGTCTGAGGAGCTTGGGGATGAAAGTGTGACTGTGTGCATAAGTAAATGTGTGCAGTCGTCTGGACAACAGCATGGTGGGGGGAAAAAAAACCCACCATGACCCTGACGAGAGCTTGCGGAGAGCATGTGGAACTTTCAAGAAGGCAAAACCCTGTGAATGAGCTCCGTGTTGGAGCTGCACAAAGTGACCTCTGTTCTCTCTAATCTAGTTCCCATGGCTGCAAACACACTCGGCTGTAATATCGAGATCATGTCAAAGCACAAGTCCAGTGTTTCAGCTCAGACAAAAATGCAGCAACTTATAAATATACTCTTAAAAAATATATATTGTTGGGATTTCAAATACTTGTGCCTCACAGAAGAGACACTTTCAACCAGACGCTACGGACAAGGATGACGAAATACAGTGTGTGATCTGAATTGCGAACCTAATCCACTGTGAGTCAGAGTCTCACTCCAAGTTTTATTTTGGGAACGAGGGCTGCTGAGGAGTGTTGTGTCTGTGTGTCAGGTGTTTGAAATCCACATGATCAAAACCTGTGTGAACCGGAACATTGACTAAATCTGGTGCAGAAAATGTTTGTGCTCAAGGAATAAAGGATTGAGTGGTATTGTCAAAAACTTAGCCGATACATAACAAATAAATAATGAATAATTCATAGATTAATAGTGGCTTGAAACAATGGAATTAGAAAATCACAAAGGCTGTGATTTGCACTCTGACCCAGGGTTTAAACTGTTGTGTCAATAGTATCACAAATTCCTGTCTCTCCTGTGTGAGTCACACTTGTGATGGTATCTCAAGTGGTAATGCTCCATCACACACTTCAGATCTGATACACAGCAAAACCTGAACTAAAACGTAACTTTAAAAAGTTACATTGCATATCTAAATGCAATTGCAATATCTTAAAAAATAAAATAAAATTACAAATACTTATTTCCCCAAATTGTTCAGCTCTAATTTTAATGCAGAGAAACAAAAAGATAAAACTGAGTCAATAATGAGTATTCATGCAGCTTAACTGAATGAAATTCTTGAAGAGGAGTTGCATATATGAACACAATCTCATTTAAATACAATTTTGATGGCACTTATCCAGGCTCTTTGGTTAACTGGGCTATGAATGATTTATTGCTGCCTCTTCAGAGCTGAGTGACAGTTGGCCTTGACTAAAGGAATTCTGATGAGGCCATTTGCTCTACTAACATCCATCCTCCACCTCACCGCGATGTAGTTTGATGAGAGTACGTTGCTGCAGAGTACAGGGCAGCACTACAATGGTCTGGCCCTGCATTAGAGCTAAATCCAGATTGACAGGCGGAGGTCTCAGCTGCAGATTAGCCTGACGGGCTGTCTGTCTGGATCACAGGGAGTTCAGCTGGGCCACTGCAGCTAGACAGAAAACTCAACAGTGAGGCATGCTGGGACACAAACCCAAGAGGCAAAAGCTTGTAAGCTGGGTGTCTATGATTTGTCAATTCTTCTAATTTCAACTTTAGTGCTGTAATGTTAATGCGCATACATTCCACTTCGCTGACTTGTCAGGGACTGGTTTTGTAACGGTTTGCTCGACTACCTGTCAAGCACAGTCCTGTTTGATCACCTGAGAGATTAACAGCACGACCAACGTGTTCGCTGCCTAAAATCATTCCATCAGCCCAGATTTCCCCTTCAATCCCCAGGACGCTGGAAGGGCACAACATATAATTTACTGGATGCTTTTACACAATCCGCCTACAACAGCCAGGGTTGTTGACTTGTTTCAGTCAACAACGTGCTTTACCAGCTACACGATGCTGCACAGAAAGAGAGCTTTTCTAGTGATGCATGTCCAATGTGAGTCATATGAAGGTCATAGTTTCTGTGTGTATCTGTCATACCGCAAATAATGGAAACCTTTCAGCTGATGTGAAAGGAATGATTCACCTCTTTAAATGCACAGATCTAGACCTGTATTTTGAAACAACAACACGATGACCCTCTTATATATGGAGGACAGAAGCGCTAAAAAAAAAAAAACTCAGGCAGTTCCTTTTAGTGTTTGATCAAATACTGCTTATACTCATTCAAGTGATTCTGTTTTTGACCTCTACTAAAACAACCACAAGTCATCATTTCCCCCGTTCCCTATAATAGGCTGTAAATCACAGAGATAGTGCTTTTGTGTTTTGTGGTATCTTGTGTGTAGGTGTAAAACCCGGAGAGGAGGGGTGTGTTGTTACAGACAGAGCATGGCTTGTCAGTCTGAATTTATTACACTACACTGGCCTCTCATTCAACAATGTTCATACCGATAATGTAAGAACTAATTTTGGCTTGATAAAACAAACTCACGGACATTATTAACGCATGCAGTTACCATAAATGTTTTTTTTCACAAACACCAGCATATTCAGTCATGGTTATGCAGTGACTTGAATTAGGGAGCTTTCTACTTATAATGCAGTCAAGGCTTGTTAACTTGAGTCTTGCATAATCTAGAGTACAGATGAGTTAACTGATAAATAGCATTATACTTGAATTCAGAAACAAAAGTTAACAGCGTGTCATGGCTTGAAATACTGTGTCTGCCTTCACTGGAGACAGCTGCTGCATCAGAACCGGTTTATCACAGAACCACCTTAACATGAACTCAAAACGCCACAAAGTGTTCAGGGTGTACCTTTTAGCTCCATTAAGGTGCTTAATGTTCAAGTTAAACAGTTAGACTTTGTGTTACTTACATCAAATCTGGTCTGTAGCGATGTATGATGGCACAAAAAGCCAAACCGTCCCGAAAGGACGCTGACATGTCCCGTATTTCCACATCGTTGTAATTTTCACACTGTATCCGACACCACTCCTGGAGAGCCTTCAGAGATCCCATCATAGATTACTGGTAATCTGAATTAACTGCCAAATATTTCTTTTTTTCTTTCTCCCAGGCGTGACAGGACAGGAACAGCAGCAGCAGTAGTGTTTCGTCGGAGGGGCGACAGCCAGACAACACCCGATGTGACGATATTCATTAACGGTCACTGAGTCACGTTAAAAAAAAAAATAGCATGGCTTGCAAGCTAGCTAGACGTTAGCTAACTTTTGCAACTACTGCTAACATTGTGTGAATGTCATCTCATATGTGGGGTGGTTCAAGAGGCGATGACTACACGTAAAGTAAAGCACTGACACGAACAACAGAGTTATGAACACGCCTCGTGTCCAGACAGCTTGCCAACAAAGTTAGCCAACTCAGCTAGCCAGCTAATGCAGCCCGCTGCTAGCTCCTATGTTGAAGGTCTTTTTTTAAGGGCTGCCTCGGGCGATGGTGTAGTTTCGGTTGAAGCAGATGAGACAGTTTCCTCCTTGAGGTGGACGGCGACACGTTTTTGTTTGTTGGTGCAATGGCTGTTAAAACGCTGAATGAAAAAAAAAGAAGTCTCTGACGCCCCGCACTTCTCCCGACGCTCCTGTTGGGGCAATATAATGAAACGACGCCGTAAAACAAAATACACCCCGGGCGTTTGGTGTTGATCAAAGCCGCCCCCGGTGCCAGTCCATCCGAGCAGCATTGGTTGAAGCGTTGGCAACCTGCCTGCCACCCTGCTTCAATATCACCTTGTCATGTCTCTTCGCGTCCAGTCGGGGGAGCCACGCAGCCGCTGCTCCTAACGCTAATCCACGCGATGTTTTACTAAAATCACGCGAGAGTAGCCACTTGTTTAGAATTCCCGAAAGATGGCGGCGGCGCCTCCAGATGAGGCTAGCCTGCAGTCTCGCATCAGTAAGTCATCATACATTACTATGGTAGATTAAGTTTTAAACGGTAAGCGTAGCCGTTGCACTGCTAAGGGGTACTGAGATGTATTCTCATTTACAATCTCACTATATCGCTAGTAGCTTTCTCCCCAGGGAACAGATTTTTTGAGAATGTCATCAAACCTAAAAGTGCAGTTGGCGATCAGGAGCAAATGGTCAAATGTTGTATCACCTTTGCTGTGTTACGTTTTCATTTTGAGGTCACGCTATGTTTACTGTTGGCAGTTCGAGCTTGGTGATATTACAAAAACGTGACATTTGAATTTTATAGACATAGCAGCGTTCAGTTCAATGCTAACAAAATCATGGAGCTAGTTAGCTGTTTCCTTGATGACTAAGTCAAGTCACTTGCTAACCCAAAACCAGGAACCGTGCAGCGCTTCTGCTATCATCTGTCACAGGATTCAGTCACACGTTTTTTATTCCAAATGCCAACTTCTCTCTTTAAGGAACCAGTTAAGTTTATTTATATAGCAGCTTATCAGGTATCGGGTTATTCAAAGTGCTTTACAGGCAAAGGTTAAAAAAAATAAAATAAAAAAAATAAAACATGTAAAATTACTAAATGCAACAGGATTAAATTAGAATAATTCAGTCAAAAATAGTCCAGACTAATAGATAAATTGCACACAAATTTGATAGAATATTGAAAACAAATTGAGTAAAACAGCAGAAACTCAGTAGACAATACAAACACAAACATGTACTTTGTTATTATTATTATAAAACTGAATAATTAAAAGTACCAGAATGACTATTTCACCATGTTCGGTCAGAATTCTACGCAACACTAACTCACTATTTCCTGCAGGTCTGAGAGACCTACGACACTTTAGCAAACATATCTCCAATATATTCTCCAATATATTTTAGGCCTTGACCTTTCAGCGACTTGAAGACAATGAGTCGGGCCTCAAATTCAATTCTATATTTAACTGGAGACCGGTGCAGGGATCTAAGATTGCAGTAATTTTTTCTCTCTTCTCTGTGTTTGTCAGTATTGTTGCAGCAGCATTTTGAATGAGTTGCAAATGTCAAATGGTCTGATTTGGTTGATGAGTAAGGAGTGCATTACAGTAGTCCACTCTGCAAGTAATAAAGACACAAATGAGCGGCATCCTTCTGTCTTTATTGCCAACTGGAATTAGTTCAGTCTGGAATTTATTTACCTGAAAGTTGTGTTGTATCCAATTGTTGACTTCCTCAAGACAAAGCAAGTCTTTATGAACAACTGCACCAAATCAGAGAGCGGAGAGTTTGCATGTTTCAAACAGCAAGAGGCCATAAATGTTTTCCAGTTTCACAGACACACAGAAGAACCCAAATTAAAAAGGGTGAAGAGAGTTATTTTTTGCCATTTTCAGGTCAAAGATACACAGACTTGCCAAGTATGTATAATACATCTGGAATTACTCTGTAATGTGCTTCCTTTTGCACAGACAAGGCCACCAATCCTCTGAATAAGGAGACTGACTGGGACAGTATCAAGGGATTTTGTGATCAGCTCGACAATGAACAAGAAGGGTGAGAGGAAAATATACAGAGAAAGAAATCGTCTGTTGATCTGAACAATGAAAACTTGCTTCACTGTAACATCACATTTTTTACAACTGCTGTTTTTGCATATTTTATGTGTTTTTGTTGCTTACTTGGTCTGTTTTTTGGTTTCTCTGTTAATTTCAACTAGCTTATTAAATTATAAAACTGAAAAGTTGCACAACCTTTTCAAGCCTGTCATTTCAGTTAAGGTCAAAATTTGTTTGTCATCAGTCCTCAGCTTGCAACCAGACTTCTGGCCCACAAAATCCAGTCTCCTCAGGAATGGGAGGCATTGCAAGCGCTTATGGTAAGAGTTTGAATGCAGCATTGACAAACCCACCGTTCATCCAAACTTCAATTCAAAGTGTTGTATGGTTAACAAGTGTAAAGGTCTGCAGAGCGCCACATTGTCAGTGAGAGCTTGTCTGTAAAAATAACAACCTTTGAACAATTCCCAGCTTCTTGAGACGTGCATGAAGAACTGTGGGAAGCAATTTCACAGTGAAGTGGGAAAGTTTCGCTTTCTCAATGAACTCATCAAGGTGGTCTCACCCAAGGTAATGGACTAAATCTTGTCATACAAGTTTGGCTGCCACTTCGTATCCATGAGAATGACTTTTTTTTATCCATTGAAAACAGCAGTTATGTCTCTGATCACACAAGAGCTGATCATAATGAAGCACTGATACACAAGATACTGTATATAAGCTGCAAGTTTAATGAAACAATAAGAAACCCCGACCCTCTTCTTATATCTGGGAATCAGTGTCATGAACCACAAAGGAAGTTATAACGCCTTGTTTCAGAAATACCTTACTCCTTAGGAAATGTTAATATCAGTGTCATTTAGCAAAGAATAATAAAATTTTTGTTTAGCAGTGGTTACTCTCTCCCATCTCTTTGTAGTATTTGGGAGCCCGGGCTCCAGAGCCAGTGAAAAAGAAGGTTTTAGAAATGATGTACAGCTGGACGGTGAGGCTGCCAGATGAGTCCAAGATAGCAGACGCGTATCAGATGCTGAAAAAACAGGGTGAGTTTGATGACTGACCATCACGACAAACGACCGTGGCAGGTTCTTTAACTTGATGGGTTCTTCTGTTTTTCACACATGGTGGGTTTTCCACATGCTCACCATACAGGAGTTTTAAACGTTTTGGTTCCCACTGATAGTGTGTTTTTTTTGTTCTCCATATTTGTTCGTTCGAATAATTAGGTGGTATCAGTTCTCCTTTTTAGTACAAGCATGAGACTGATGTCCTTTGTCATGCTTCTTGAAACCTAACATGATCTCAAACATGGAGTTTCCAGGATTGTATAAGAAAAATATTTGTAGTGCTCTTGTTTCTTGTGTATTTTAACATAACTAAACTGTGTCTTTGGATATGATGCTTCAATTTGGCCTCAAGAAGTGTCAAGTACAGCGTTAAAGCAGCAGTGTCACATACGTCATGGGCAGTACTGAGTCATAGGTGACCCAGATTCTGTAACTGAGATCTATAAACAGTGTAAATACATAAAACAGAAGCGGTGCTGTTGATGGACGGTTTATTTATGTAAGGTTAATAGACGTCCTTGTTTTTTCCAGGCATTGTCAAGCAGGATCCTGTGCTTCCTGATGACAAGCCCCTCCCGCCCCCTGCACCCAGAGCCAAAAGTGCCATCTTTGAGGATGAGGAGAAATCCAAGGTATGTAATATGAGTGATTAAGGGGCAATAATCACATCAGATAGACTCGAAAAGGGGTGGATTTGTATGCCGTTATTAATTTTCTAAATATTCTCCTAGGACGGGAAATTTGTAATCATACAATCTGCTTGTTTTACTCACTGGAAACATACCATTAAATCATGTGAAGTGAAACTCCTGGGAAAATTCTAATGGTCCCAGCAGTTTGAAAATGCTCTTCCTCTTTCCTTTCCTCTCCCTCTTCTGTGTTTATCCTGTTTTTGTAGATGCTGTCTCGCTTATTGAACAGCACACACCCTGAAGATTTAAGAGCAGCAAACAAGCTCATTAAGGAAATGGTTCAAGAGGTGAGTCACTGGCTTTGTTCAACATGTGTTTTACAGTATTATCACATGTGCATGTGTACCTGTGTTTCATTACCATTTGTATCAAATACACAGCGTGCACTCAGTGTTCTAAACCACTGATGTAGAGAACTGAGAGGCCGATTAATATTCAATGGCTGTGATTAAACAGTCAACCATCAAACTTAAGTCTTCACAATAAATGATAGAAAGCTACGATCTTGAAGTAACTGTTTCTTAAAACTTTTTGTTAAATCTGATTACATTATTAATTTTTTTAAAAAGCAATCGAAAACAAAGTTTGTTCCCTAAATCAAAAACATTAACCATAGGTTCATGAAATTATGATCACACCTACAGAAACAGGGATTTTATTTGTAAAAGTGTCCTATTTGTCATCAGTCATCAGAATCAGAATGTCTTTATTGTCATTGTTTGAGAACAGTGAAATTAAAAGTGCCATCCTTAAGTGCATAGTAAATAATTAATAAAATAACAAAAATAAAATAACATAAAAACAAAACAAACAAAAACATGTAAGACTATCAAGATAAAATATTCATAAAAAACATTCATAAAATCATTCAATAAAACCCATTAAACACTAGAATTACTAATGTGTCCTGAGTTTAGTACATATATGGCATAAGGAGAACATTTACCTATTAAATAACTGATATGTGTCGTAGAAAGTGCAAGCCCACTTTACCTTCAGATATTGTGGTATTTATCATGATAAGGGAGCTACACTATAATCTTCTGTTACCATTATTTTTTTAAGTCTAGTTTCTGTCCTACTGACCTTGATGAGCAAATTAAGTCAGGGAAATAGGATCTACAAAAATGCAGCATTTTTGAGCTTTAGAACTTCTTTTGATCCCAGGAACTGTAAGATCCTATCACTCTTTTTTTTTTTCCAAGGACCAAAAGCGAGTGGAGAAAGTATCAAAGCGAGTGAACGCCATCCAGGAGGTGAAGGAGAGTGTCAGCCTGCTGAGCCAGCTGCTGGAGGGCTACAGCAAGGAGAGCTGCTCACAGAGCAACCAGGAGCTCATTAAGGTTTGTGGAGCTCAGCACATTAAAACGAGCAGCAGCTACAGCTCCTGCTGGTTCCGCTCAGTGGAGGGGCAGTTTTATTGTTTTAACATGCCTCTGATTGCAGGATCTTTACCAGCGCTGTGAAAAGATGAGGCCTACGCTGTTCCGACTAGCGAGTGATACAGAGGACAGTGATGAAGCTTTAGGTAGGTTTGGGAGTATGGTATATTATAATTTACCAATTTCATGGAATCATTCTGTATGATGGGATGTGAAACCCACTGTGGTGTTGCTAATTTGTTTCCCTCTTACAGCGGATATCTTGCAGGCCAATGACAGCTTGACGCAGGTCATCAATCTGTACAGACAGCTGGTGAAGGGGGAGGACGTGACAAAAGATGGCATAACTGTGCCCTCACAAGAAGGTAGGTGCATGTGTCTGTTGTCTAAGTCAGTTAGAGCTGGGGAGGGCAGAATCATTGGTTCCATACTAACCTTTTGAACATATTAACTCCAGTGGTCTGAGAGAAAACAAGACTTCTGCACCTTCTCTTGAGTTTGGTTCTCTGTTTAGAAAATGTATCTCATGAAGGGATACTTCAATTCACTTCCCCAAGATGCTGAATGTGGAATTTCTCCCAACAGTAGGGGAGCAGCTTCTATGGTGGCTCTGCCACCACTGGAGTGTGAATGAGAAAGACATTGTAAAGCGCTTTGTAGAACCAAGCTTACATTTTTAAAAAAGTGATGAAGAGGTTAGCTATAAGTATCCTTCATATACTGCAAAGCAGCCAGTAGGTGTCATTTTTGGTGACGTTTTCACTCTTTGGTATCGCTGTCTCATCAACAATTAACTACACAATAAATCTTGATTGCTCTGACACATTCATGCTTCATTTAAGGTCACACCTCCTCCCATCGGTTACACGTTTTCTAGTTCAAGACACTATCACTGCTTGTCACCACTTGTCCACGCTGTATGAAAAAGAGCACACCCAGTAGGACTTGTTGGCTGAATGAGTTAGTCAGAAGACTTTCAATCGTTTCTATGGGATTTGAGTCCAATGTGAAGCTGAAAATTAATTTTCATTTTTGGTTTGACCATGTTTGTACGTTTGAAGTACATTCAATTGCCAGTCATTACCTGGTGAGAGGTTTTTAGGGCACAGAGGGGATAGCTTCAGGAGTATGGCTGTATTTTCAAATTCTGTCCTTCTTTTTGGAATTTTTTGCCTTTTTCCAGATTTCTGCCTACTGCAGCTTTAACTGGCATCCATCAGTGTTTACTTTGATTCTCCCACCATTTCTGTCGACCTTCACATGACAGATGATTGTTTTCTCTCCAAATCAGGCAGCGGTAGTTCAGCTCTTGTAGACCTGACGGGAATCAACATTTCAGCCGACACAGCACCATCCAACCCAGAGACCTCCAGCTTGCAGACTCTGACTCAGAACATGGGCATGAGCCTCTTGGATGATGAACTCATGTCACTGGGTAAGCAGGAAAAACTCATCTGGTTTGCGAAAGCAAAGGCAGATGACTAAGTGTAACTTTTTAACAAGCCAAAAAGTACAAGCCAGCAGCTTAGTCTGTGTAGCAAAGGTCTGCTGTATTTCCACTAGCCAGCATGTGGTTGCTCTTGTCAGCTTGCTGGCTGCAGTGCAGAGGCTCCAGAGGCTCCAGAGGTAGACTACAGCTGGCTAAACCCCAACAAGCCTGGCTGCATTCACTGACTCTCTAGATTCAGGCCAATTTACCATAAACTCTGATATATGCAGATGATTTCAGTGTTCCAATCCCCCCAAAATGGAATAAACTGTCATATAACCTTTTGTTATTTCTTTTCTTTTAGGACTGAATGTAACAGAAAACTGTGACTCTCAGAACACTTTGCAGGTGCGAAGTAAGATAATATTGTCTCTATGTGTGTAATTTTTGTCTAACTTTTCTGCTTCCCAGTGACAGTTTAAAAATAAAAATAAAAAAAAACTTCTCTGGAATAATTTGCAATACTTAAACACATAGTACATTCAGTACTGGCAGTGGTTTCACGTTCAATTTTACACCGTTAATACTGTAACTCCCTGTTTGTTCACTCAGTCGGCAGATATCACAGAATCATCTGCTCCATCGGTGCCAGCTGCAGTCTTGCTACCAGCTGTTGTCCAAACGCCTCAGACTGCACCAGCAGGGGGCTCCGCTGCTCCTCCTAAAGCCATGGAAGAGCTCGAATTGCTGGGAAAGACTCTGTTGCAGCAGTGCCTACCTCCAGAGAGCCAGCAGGTCAAATGGTAAGTGGAGGATATGGAGTTAATAACATAAAAGCTGGTCTCATAGAAGGACATTAGTAAATTAATTGTAGAGGGAAGTTATGTGTTGAGTATTTTTTTGTTGTTGTTGTTAAACGTGCATACAGCTACCATGTGACTTTTATTTCTTGTTCTTCTCCATGCAGGGACAAGCTGCAGCCTCAATCTCGGGTGACTTTACGAGATCTCCAGACTAAGTCCACCACTAACTCCAAGCCTGCCCCTCCTTCAACCGCCACCTCGTCTGGTCCTGCTTCTGCACCCGGGCCGACATCCAGCCTGACCGTCCAGTCAGAGCAGCCCGACGCTCTCCTCCTCTCCAATCTTAGTCTCACAGTTACTGAAAAAAGCTCTTTACCCGCCGCTGACCCCTACGAAAACATCTCTCTGGCTGACGTTACAGTGCCTCTGGAATCAATCAAACCTAGTAAGCACTAACCCGGCACGCAGGGTGTGAAAATATTTAGTAACTTTAGGATTTGACATCACATACGTCTCCTTGTATATTTCAGGCACCTTGTTACCAGTGACTGTATTTGACAAACACAGTCTTCGGGTTTTGTTCACCTTTGCCCGCGACTGTCCTCCATCGAGACCTGACGTGCTGGTTGTGATCATCTCCATGCTGTCCTCGGCCCCGATTCCTGTCACCAACATCCGCTTCCAGGCAGCCGTTCCCAAAGTAGGTGCATTTTTACTGCTAGTTGCATTGATGGCCAAATGTGATTTGACTTTGCAAGTGAGGCTCTACCTGCTCAGTTTAAGGTGTTCAACCAGCTGAAAGTCATACTTCTTGATGGTTTCAGTAGTTGTGGATGTCTGCTGCTGCTTAGGTTTCATGTGTTTATGGTTTTCCATTGTATAGGTGATGAAAGTCAAGTTGCAGCCTCCCACCAGTACTGATCTCCCAGCCTTCAATCCCATCTTGCCTCCTGCCGCCATCACACAGATTTTGCTGCTGGCAAACCCTCATAAGGTATTTTGCTTCTATGCCAGTCATAAATCATGCTCTCTGTTGGCGTCTGCCTCACATCACAATTTTCAGAAGTAAACATTTCTAGTAATTCCTTTCCACTGATGTACAGCAGGTGACTGTTCACAGTAGGGTTGCAACAAATAATTGTTTTAGTTCATTCATACTGTCTCTCCGTTAAACTTTAAGTCTGCTAAATGCAGAGCATCTTCAGTCAGCACCAGAGGTTTGACCTGACATTTTTCTTCTTGTGTTTCAGGAAAAAGTACGTTTGCGGTACAAACTAACTTTCAACCTGGGGGACAAATCTCATGATGAATCCGGCGACGTCGACCAGTTCCCGCCTCCAAACACTTGGGGGAACCTTTAAGGAGAAAAGGACCATTCTCCCGTCATCTGATCTGCTGCTTCCTTTTACATTTAGGTTGAAATTGTCCGTTAACACTGGCTGAGGCGAGACAACCTCGTTATACTTTTCAAACTCCGTTTTGGAAATACAGACATGAGAGCAGTTGTGGGAACCAGCTTCGACCTTGTGCCTTCCTGTCCTTACGCGATCATGTCCATATTTCCGAGTGTTGTTGCTACTTTCTCTTCTTCCAACAATCAGTCCAGCACAGTGATAAAAAGCCAACTTTCAGAAACAATCAATCCAGTGACATTTGGGAAAAATATTGAGCCTTTTAAAAACTGAATGTGTGAGTTTATCCATACTGCTAGACACATCCCATGTCATGTGAATTACATACGACAGCTGGTCTTTTTTTTTCTTTTTTTTTTACAAAGCCAGATGCTCCTTGATGTATTCCCACCTTGGGATTCAAAATGCTGCACGTTCAGCTGCACATTAGAGTTGTGACGGTTTATTTTGAATGTTCACAGTAGAGTTGCAACCATTTTCTATCAGTCAGTACAGCTTCTGTGTTAAAGTCAGTTAAATGCTTTGAGCGATGTTTTAAAAATACAGGTCATGATACAGAATAGTCTATTTTACTTAATAACTTGACAGGATTAAAATTAGCTGATGTATTTGCTCATTGTTTCAGCCCAACTTCTGTGTTTGCAGGAAGAGATGCAGTGGTGTCATGCTCCACTTAGTAGCAAACCACTTCCCCTTTAAATGAACGCTGGTGATGTTTGTTTGTTTGACAAACACAGATGGAAATAATGAAACTGAGTGTAATTCCCACATCTGAAATCATTGTAGGAGTTTCCCCCTTGACTATATGGAGTTTGATCTAAAATTAAGTAGTAACCAAATTATCCAGGGAGCACAAATAATGAATCATTTTTAAGCATTGTCTGGGTTTTAATATGTTTGGATAAATTACAGTCAGGTGGTGTGTGTGTGTTTAAGGTGTAACCATGGGCCTTTTTCACAGCAGATACGTTGACATGGCATTGCAGGAAAAGCACAGGTAACATAGACAGTGGCTTTGTTGTATATTGTGAAGGTGAAAGCAGCCATTCATTCTCTTTATTTACAGCTGTGCTTTTCCCACTGTGACGTGTCAAAAAGCTGACGAACGGAGGGCATTACATCTCTGCCCCTTTACTTCTTTTATTTCTGCACTTTTCTGTTTTCAAAAGATTTTTTTTTACATTATGTTTCACTCAGGATATTGATTTGGAGATTTTTTTTTATTTCTCATACAGCCTGAACCTACATGCACTTATTTTGTTTATATTTTGCACATGAAATCATTCCCTTGTTCAGTACATTTGTCTTTTTCTCATTTTCTGCCTTTTCTACTGTTGATTGACCCAAAGAGGGACATGTGAAGTCCTGAGTTGACGTCACTGACATCTGGTGATTCTACCACATGTGCCTGAGATGAAACGTTTGCTTTTCTTTTGCTCTGTACATATATGTATACAAATGACTTGATCCTTGTTTCCTTGTGTTCATGTCCTAACCAGAAAATGATGTTACTGAATCATTCTAATGTCCACGAGTTGATTGGAGCACGGGTCTATGAGCATTTCTTAGGAGTCATAAAGATTAAAATAAACTGAGACTGGAGGCAGACTGATTCTGAAATACATGTGCAACTCCAGATGTGTGGAAGTACAGCAGGGATAGAGCTGGGAAGTCTGTGAGATTCCGTTTAATTGTCATAAGGGATCGATTTAGGAATTACCCACTGAGCAATATTGATTCAGCTTAATTGAAAGCATGTGTTAACTTTCATGTGGAATATCAGCCCATATCAGACCGTCATTGCCATTTACCATATCACTAAGCTAAATACACTATAAATGAGCTGTTCTGGTTTATTTGCAGGCATAGTTACACTGCTAACCTCTGGACTAGCAGGGAGAAAGCAATAATGAAAAAATTTAATTCAAATTTTGTTGCTCAAGCAGTTTGTAAATAATACAGATTTGAATGTTATGTACTGTAAATATACATTCAGAGGAACTGTGACAGATTTGTCTATATGAGATTCATATTGTACAAGTCCAGAGAGATGCAAATTTGCCTTCTTGTCAACGCCATAACTGCATCTCCTTCACAGTTTGTTCCTCTTACGGATCTGCAGCAGCAAATTATTTAACCAGAGTACTTTAAATTAGAAGTCTGGCTTTACTCGGAGGCTATATTTAGAGGTATTACCTCAACAAGTAATTTGAGATTTGCAATGTTGTCATTACTGAAAATGACAGTGATAACATTTTCAGCAATGTCAATTACATTTTTCTACAACCAGGACAAATGCAATCACCCGAAATGAGGCCCATGTCATGTTTGGGTTGAGTTGCATTGAAGTTCCCCCTTTACCAGACCTATTGCAGGTGCAGGTTCAAATTGAATTAAATACCTGCTGCAATGAAGTTCACAGCAATCACTGTGCATGCAATGCTGTCCTTGTAACCTTTGTCTAGTTATAAATAAGTGAATCCCACTGGACTTCCCACATGATCTAGGCCTAACAAACAAAAACATTATTTAGGGAGCTTAAAAACATGTAACTTTAGACCCAAAGTGTGTCAATCAACTTAAACAAGTGATGCACACACAAAAAAGTGCTGACACCTGTAACAGTGTGAATGACAGAATATAAATTCCTGTATAGATTTTTCTGAGGGAAGGAAAGTCTTTTCCATTGTGTTCCTACTGTAAATAAAAGCATCGTGCCATTATGCGTATTTACCAATAAAAGTACACATGTACATACTGCTGGGTACAAACTGAGAATATACTACAAATGTGTATTTAAAGCAAATAAAGTCATTTGTATAGGGATGTCACTTGATGTATAATCAATCAAAAATAATCAATTTGCTAAGCAGTAAATGTGGCTTTGAGTCGTTTATTTAGGAAAACACTAAAAAGAACACAATGAGTAAAAGGAAACAAGCAACAAACAGCAACTTAGTCAATAATCTGCATGTTAAAATAATATTGCAGCTGTGACTTACTGCAGGACAGAATAAAGTGAAGGCATGCATGATAAAAAAGAATCAAAAAAAACATCTACATTTAATACCAAAGTCAACTACACCGACAAATCTAAAGTAGATGAATGGTATCAAAACTATTGCAGAGAAGATTCACAAAATTGTATTATACATTTCTCAGGTGTTTAGAAGAACAAACCGTAAATCTATGCAATAAATAAAATATATTGCTTTTCAAGATCTGTTTCTCAACCTAAACTAACCAGAATTTGAACTTGGACAAAGTGAGAGGAAGACATGAGTCTGGAATGTGACTGTATCTGTTGCATTTCATTTTTCCTGTCAGAAAAACACTCTCAACTACAGACCACTGAGGCTGTCAGTCTAGAAGTGTTTGCACTCAAATCCAATTATAACACAGCTGATGGCTGACAGCCTAAAATAAAAAGCAGTGTTTATTATTCAAAAAATAGAGATGTATTACACATTACTCATTAGTATTTTCAAAAGTAATGTATTATTTTATCTATTTACTCACTGCTGAAAGTAATTTGTTACTCATTACATTACTACACAACTTTGCCTGAGATGCATTATCACTTAATTGCCACTTCGCAATACAGCATTAAAGCTATTACACGTTGCAGTGCAAATCTCTATTCTAATAAGGAGGACATATACCAGACTTTTGCCTTTAAGGTTTTTAATAAAGTACTACCACAAAGCCAACAGCAAAAACTGAAAACCAGCCCAAAGAGCGCATCATAGGAAAGGTTCAATTAGATGTCTACGAGAGTCAAGGTGGTACTGCAAGTAGGCTGCATGGCTTTAAAATAAAACCAGGAACTAACTGTATACAGTAATGCTGTACATTACTGTGTCACAGACCAATGCAATGCAATTATTTGTAACACTACTAAAGAGGGACAACAAACTGGTCAAATCCAATGTTGTAACATTTGATTGGAATGAAAACAAAAGACACTTGTACCTCCATGGTTCATGGTTGAGAGCAACTCTGGACAATGACAATCTAGGTTGAAAAAATAGGACAATATTTCTAGATTTCCGTTTCAAATCCCTTATTGTTGGGTGTATTAAAAAGTACAAAACAAATACAAAATATAAGCCCTTACCTCCTTAGATATATGCCTTTTTCAAATCCCCGGCTGTTTTGGAGATGACAAGAATAAAAACAAAGTTACACTGTAAAACACACTAGCACAAGTTAACTCAGTGCCTGTTTATTCTACTTCCGGGGAGGCGGTGCGCCTGGAGGAGCAGAGGGCGGAGGCACGAAAGGATATGGCGGCTGCCCCATGAAGCCCATGAGTGGAGGCTGTGGTGGAGCAAACTGCTGAGCCATCAGAGGCTGTGGCCCCCCTGACGGTGGAGGAGGAGGAGCCTGGCTGAACTGACCCTGCGGCTGGCTGGACTGATCCTGACCTCCACCGCCGCCTCCAGATTGACCTCCACTACGGGAGTTGAAGCCGCCACTGCTGCTGTAGCTCTGGTACTGATCAGAGCCGGAGTTGTAGCTGTTTCTGTGATCCCGGCTTCTGTCCCTGTAGGACGAGGATCGGTCTCCGTCGCGGCTGTTGCGGCTGTCGCGGTTGAAGCTGCTGCGGCCGTCTTTGCCACCGCCGCCAGAGCGCATGCGCCGATCGCACTCCTCCTGATACATCAAGTTCGGGTTGTTGGCGTTGCTGCCACGGTAACGCATTCTGCCACCTGAATAAACAAGAAATCATTAACTCAATTTCTCACATCTATCAAGCAAGCGCACGTTTGATTGTGACATAAGAGGCTGAAAAAATCCTCCTTACCGCCTCCTCCTCCGCGGCCGGTGTCCACGAGCTGAAGCAGTTTAGGATTTATGGCTTGCCGGGCCTCCTCCAGAACCCGGACAAGGTCTCGAGCCTGTCGCAGGTTTCCTGGGGTGAAGAAGGTGTAAGCAGTGCCCTTGTTGGTACTGCGGGCCGTACGTCCAATACGATGGACATAATCCTCAGAGGAGCTCGGATAGTCATAGTTGATGACGAACTTGACGTCTTCCACGTCTTTTGGTTAAAGTGCAATTGATTTAAAAGCACAGGGGGGAAGGAATAAAGGATGAACATCTCAAGAAGGTAAAAGTCTTCTGGAGAAAAATGTGACTCTATATAAGTCAACTTTGATGTCTATTATTTAAATATATATGTGTGATTACCATTGAATATTTTCATTTTGCAATATTAGGAAGATATCTGAGTAAATAGAGTAACTTACCTGCCTAATGTAACCATGCCAACCCATCCAAAGATTAATTTTAGCAATTTAAATGACATTCACTTAAACTTGAATGTGACTTTAGAGTTTCATACTCACATCATATATAGTGAGTATGACTTTGAGGTGTAAAGAAGCCACGTTTATGCTCTGTAATCTTCACACCAATGTGATTACCGATCAAAACTTGTGAGGAGTCTGTTTCTCATTACAGAAGACATGGGGCTCTGACAGCACTGCTGATCAATAAGTCTCCCTTTCCCCCCCATCATGACAGAGGGAAGCTGCTTAATCAACCATAACCTACTGCAAAGTAATGTGCCATGATAGAAAACTGCTTCTCCTGTGATGTAAATATGAACACGAAGGCAGTACCTGGATGTATGGTGAGCTCGTGGAGTTAAGGCAAAGGGGTGCTGAGGTACTTACCCCCTTCATGATGTTTTTACAAAGGTAGTCATTCCCCCCTGATCAGTCCTGGTTCACTGGGAGGGGCTGAGGGAGAGGGACTCATCCCTCACCTTCTGCTCACACCAGCAACGTCAGACGGGAGCAGAACCGTTAAACCTCAAGAGACACGCACACAACGGCTGGTTCTGTTGCTCTCTCGCCGCATTGCAGGACCCTCCTCAGACCCTGGCCAGGACTGGATCCAGACGAGCCCGTCTAACTCTCTCTCCCCTGTCTGTCTGCTTTTTGGGGAGGACCGATGGGCAGACATACAGGAACCTCAGGTTGCTCCCAAGGAAGGCTCGTTGGATTTACAAACTCTGACATTACTGGGCAGGGGGGGATCTTTTTTAGTTAAGAAGAAAAAAGGGGGTCTTTAAGCCCTCTGAAACTAACGAAGCTCCTACTTTAACGTGACTGAGGGGGCAGTGACAGCAGCGCAGACTGTTACAGCTGCCGTGTGCTGCCAAACCCTGAGAGGAGAAGAGGGGAAAAGAGAACAAGGATACAGTCATAGGAATTTTGGCAAAGTAAAGACACTTCACTTAACCCCCCTTCTCAGATGATCCTGGCAAGAAATTAGATGTCAAACTAGCCTTCCTGTTGTCTCGGTGGACTTAACACAACTCAGCTGTCATAGCTCTACACATATGCATCTGCAAAACATAACAAAATGTATTATTTTGCAGAATAATATAATTATCACAAAGTATTTAGTGTGTGGAGAAAAGTGTAATATGAGCATCATCATCAGTAAATTTGTACTGACACCACAAAGGAGACATGAGAAAAGGTGCGCAGGAGCTTCTGCCCCACACAGCTCTCCTTTCAGGCAGCGTGCCAAAGAGCCCCGCTTGAAGGAAGCTTTTTAACTGCAGTAACAAGAAACAGACTATAAACCCAGTGGACCAGAACGCCTGCAGCCTCTGCACTGGACTTGACAGTCCATAAGGCTGTCAGGGCAGAAAAACAAGAGGAGTCCTTCCATAAAGTGTGTTGATTTATTTCAATGCACTAAATTCATCCTGAATAAATCTTCTGTGTATTTTCACGCCTGTGATCAAATGCACTACAACATATTGCACCTGCTGTACTCAATAAATTCCTAGTATGATAGCCTATATTAAAATATCCATATCACCTGATGATAATCTAACCTAATAATCAAAGGAAAAAAAGGAATATAAATGTTTTGTTTTTTTGGGTTGCCACTAATGATTACAGGTTGTTCTTAAGTTTGCCTGTTATAGCTGGTGTACAAAACAATACACTTACCTATAGATCAAAATAAATTGTAATAATGAAGTCCAGTTCTATCTGAACCTAACAACTGTATTGCCTGTTTTATTGTGTTATTCTGTCATGTAAAATATACTGTCATAAAAGAAAAAATATTGATATAAGAACGATCCAAAAAGAACAGAAGAGACAATTATATGCAAAATTGTGCATTGTTAACAGTATGAGTGAGGAGACATACCCAGACCACGAGAAGCAACATCAGTAGCAATCAGAATGGGGGCTTTGCCACTCCGAAATTCTGTGGAATTAAACAAGATACCGCATTTGAAACATTAACACAACTGCTTATTGACAAATAGTTGATTTAAGCAGGAAAATTATCTATAAGACAGAGAAAGAAGGAAGTGCAATCGTTGTGTAAGATGTATTCTTACCTGTGAGTACCCAGTCTCTTTCTGGCTGGCTCTTGTCTCCATGGATACACATGGCTGGCCACCTAGAAAACCAAACCACATTAAAGAATAGTTCACATGCTGAATACTGTCTGTCTATCAAATATTCACATAATAGTAGCATACAATAATTCCTCACCCATCACGCCTCATCCTCCTTGTAAGATCATCACAACGTTTCTTAGTCTCCACAAAGATAATGGTTTTATTCTCCTTTTCAGCCATTATCTCCTCCATCAGCTGAAGAAGTCTGTCAACAGGGAGGTACAAATTTCGCACATCAAAGTACTGAAGCTCAGTTTTAACTGCGTAAAAGGATAAGCTTGTGCTCTGTAATCCTACTGCAGCAGTTAATCACAGGATCTTGACATAATGTCATTTTACTGATCAGTTATACCACCAGCTGTCCCTACTTGTTGTCCTTTTCAGTCTCCATGCAGACATCCACTATTTGCAGGATGTTGTGGTTGGCACTCAGCTCCAGAGCGCCAACATTAATCTGGACATATTCCCTCAGGAAGTCCTCGGCAAGCTGCCGAACCTCCTTTGGCCAGGTTGCACTCCACATCAGAGTCTGTCTGTCGGGCTTAGTGACAGAGAGAGAGAATAAATGCACTTGATTCAACTGAAAAACACTTCTGCATGAATGAGGCAGTAACTGAGCCTTAGTCTTACCCTGATTTGTTCAACTATCTTGCGAATCTGCGGTTCAAAGCCCATGTCCAACATGCGGTCAGCCTCATCCAGCACAAGGTAGGTGCAGCGGCGCAGGTTGGTCTTCCCTGCCTCCAAGAAGTCAATAAGGCGACCAGGTGTGGCGATGCAGATCTCAACACCTGTAATCATACAATATCACCAAGTCAAAAAAATGAAAGACTCATATACTATGTACTACCATATAGTAGGTGTTAAGGCAGATCAACAGTCATGCACTGACCATCTACTGATTTGTTCATGTACAACACTTTCTATATGAGAATTCCTAAAATTACTGTATGATCACAGGGCAAAAAATTACCAGGCAACAACTGTAGATGCAAAAAGTGTGCGATATACTAAAAAGTTTTTCATACAGATGTTCTGGATTGTCTAACTACTTTCCTTTACTTGTACTGTGCAAAGACAAGGAAGTTGGATCTAATCTAATTCATTGCATGTGCATGTGCAAATCCACAACTACACCCACCCCTCTCAAGGTCCCGAATCTGTGGTCCTTTCGGAGCGCCACCATAGACACAGGTGCTTTTAATACGAGAAGACTTCCCATAGTCAAATGCAACCTGCTGAACTTGCTGGGCCAGCTCTCTGGTTGGTGCAAGCACCAGACACTGTAAAGGTAGAAAGAAAAGTGGAATGAGGCAGGTTTTCAGACTGACTGTATGCCCACACAAAGATTGCATAACTTAGATAAAACACTGCTATCTAACATCACAACACATATGACGTTTGCACTTACAATTGGGCCATCTCCCCTCTCCAGATATGGTTGGTGGTTGATGTGTACAATAGCAGGAAGAAGATACTGCAAAAGAATAAAAAGACAATTGTATAGTGTATCAGGAAACCAATTAAAACTCCTTTTAAAAACACATAATTTAGCCTCTTGTCAATTATGTAAATTCTATACTATTGTTCTACAGTTATCCTGCTATTCATGATGTATAGTTGTTCTAGGTTTTATATTATATTTCTTTTCCAGTTTATGTACTTATATTCAGATCATATTTTTAGAGACATGTGCTATATAAAATTATTATCATAAATAAACCTTTTCAAGCTACATGAGCCAAAACTATATCATTCTCATGCAGGGTGATAAAGGAGAATTCTTACAGCAAGTGTCTTTCCAGAGCCAGTCTGGGCAATTCCCACCATGTCCTTGCCGCTCAGGGCCACAGGGAATCCCTGAGCCTGAATCGCTGTTGGCTCCTTGAAGTTCTGCTGCATCAACACATCCATCACATACTCTGCCAGAAAAAAGACGGAGATAACACAACAGTCACATTGTTGTGTTTACATTTGAGTTTCTATCTTTCAGTATTTCCATTAGAAGCACAAGACTAGAAAACATTTGGTTCTTGTAAATATTTCTCCTGTCTGTGTGAAACACTTCACTGACATTTAGATAAGTTCTACAAGATTGTCTAATTCTACCACGTAAGTGGCTTGAAAATAAAACAATGACATTTTTAAGCCCTTATATGGTTGAATGACTCAAAGAAAAACATCCCTGTATTAACTAATGCTTCCAAGAGATTATTTGCATGAATATTATAGTTTGTGTGATGTGTGGCTGACTGACGTGGAAACTGTGCATGGTGAAAAGCGGTGACAGAATTTGGACAGCCAGAGCCTCTGATGGTGATCTCCTTCTTTCTGCGAAACTCTTCCATTTCATACTGGATATGGCAAAAAAGAAGAAACAAAACATCACGTCAAGTGGATATGATGTATATACAACCACCTTCTAAAGTAATTTCATTGTTATAGCAAAGAATTGTAAATATAGCAAGGCATGACATCAGGTAGGATGTTGTTGAATTTTTCTGTGTTGTGTGTTGTTTTATGATTCACCTGAAAGCAGCACAGTGATATATATATATATATATATATATATAATAATGCTCTCAAGTCCAACATAAGTTTTTGCAAATGTTTTCAACATATGGACTGAATGACTGCTTGCAAAAAAGGGGATTCACCTGACTCATGCGCTGGACTTCAGGGTGTTCAGTGTAGAAGTTCTTCTCAAATTTTGGTAGCTCGTCCAGGTTCCACCTCTTCTTACGAAGACGCTCACCTGGATTCCCAAACTTCATTGGTGGGGGTCCACCGCGACCGCTCATGGCTCCAAACCGTGGCCTGACAGTTAAAGGTCAAGCGATAAAGCGCTCCGGTAATTTAGCAAACAGGCTGAGGTTGTGTGTTTCCAACATATTTGCTTTGGCATGCCAATCACTGACTACAATGTCAACACGGCAGTTTCATTCACCAAGGGTGTGATAACAACTTGTGTTTTTTGGGTTTGTTTGTGATCTGTGTAGTTAAGGCTCACTCCAAACACCCAGACTTCACTGCACGCAGTATTCATAAATATTAATAATAAGTACAATAACACACTTGTATTTACAAACTCATGGCTCACCTCTAGCGCCATCATCAGGCCAACATTCACTTACTAAAATTAGTATTAAGCGCTATGTTGTGGCTAACTTTGTTGTCAGCATGACCTCACACCCTGAAGCCACGTTGAGGTCAATTTTAGGCTACTGTTGCACTAATATAAATGTTATGGCGCTGGCAAGACACTGCAATGTTTCCTGAGAAATGTTTGCAATGCAGATTCAAAACAGCCACAGTCTTGGCTCAAACTTGCTACGGTGCCCAGATATTATGCAACACTAACTCTGCGCTGAAATTTTTAGTTGTTTTAACATATAAACATAAAAACCTACCTGTCTCGTCCACGGTCTCTGTCTCTGTCTCCATAGGAGGAACCCCCTCTCATGTTGACGAAAAAACACTGTTACCTTTCCGCTGTTTTTAGCAACGTTAGCTTTAGCGTTTGGCAGCGAGTGGTTTACGTTAAACACTGGAGTAAACTGCAAAATAACTACAGTTTCAGCTAAGAAAAAAACAGAACTTGAACGTGTGTTTATTTTAAACGACGACTTCGCTTTAAAATAGGCTTTGTTAAGCAAATGTTGTGTGCGTCACGTAGATAAACAGCCCCTGCTCCTACCTTCCCTGCCCTTTTCACCGACGTAACTTCAGCTACTCAGTTTACGTAGCATCGTTTCTAAAGACGCGTCATCACGTACGCATTGTCACTAAGCAACAATGGCGAATACGATTTGTGTAAAAGCTAGCGAAAACTCCTAGCATATTTTGCAGTAAAATAATCATCTAAACTTAGAACAATTTATCCAGATAATTCTTGAAATGTTGTTTTGAAACATACGTTGAACTTTTTACACAAGGTTCTAATAACAAGAATATGAGGACTCTGTAAGGCGCCAGTGGGTGGCGCTAAAGCTCCGTCTGCTTTTAATTAAAGCGAGGAAGAAGACCGCCTTCCAGGAAGTTGAAGTCGACGGATGAACCCGATGGGCTACCCTGTGCATTATGAGATCATAGGCGATACAAATATAAAGTTAGTGGGCTTTATAGTAGTAGCATGATAACTCGCTGATTTTAAAGTGGACTTCGCGTCAGGAAATGCCTTTGTTAATTCAGAATAGAGGACTTGACCGCTTAAGCTCGACAGCGGAACTGTTCGACAAAAACCCACATTTACAGGTTTGTTTCTTGAAAGTGTGGCGCGGCTACATTTAGCTTACCAAGCAGCTTTCCTCATCAGCTAACTGTACTTTACTTTAATCACTTTATGACAGACTAGCAGCTAGTGCTGCATCGAAACAACAACAGCAGACTGTTATAGAATGCTATTTTTTCTGTTACATGTGCAAGAGGCTATTGTGACTTAGTGTAAAATCCGTGCATGTGCCCTAAATCAATCCTGTAACTAGTTTTAAAATTGAAATAAGAAGGAATAACAAGTGGTAGCGGTCCTCACTGAGAAACGCTTGAGACTTCTATCAACTCTTGTCAGATAGAACTTTTTGTTTTTGCTCACAGAGAGATGGGGTTTATAGACTAACTTAACATTTCAAGCACAACAAACAAGTCAAATAGTAATAAGAGCAATCAGATTTTAAAGTATGCAATGAATAATAGTCAAAACAGTTGTGGGAATACTTTATATTTATTTGTCAGGGACTGTTCCTAAACACATTAAGCTGATGGAAAAAGAGATGCATTATACCAGATTTAACTACTAGCTCATTTCCATCTAAGGTCACTGGACAAGTAGGCACAATAGTAAATCTAAAATACAAATACATGTCCAAGCTATTAAATGCAAAGAAGATGATTTGATGACATATACATACACAGACTAACAATCTCACCCCCTCACATACACACCCATAAAACACACACATGCAGTATGCGTCCTGTAATCACAGTCTTTATTCTGTCTGGATCAATGTTACAAATCCACAACATTTTTTTTTTTTTTGTAAAATAAAACATTTTACTTTCATGCGACAGGAAAATGCAAGAACATTTCGCTCCAAGCCACTTGTTGATGTCGATCCAAAGTGCCTCCTGTACGTCCAACAAAGAGAGTTTGCTGCAACGACACCAGCAGATAGTAAGTGAAGCTGCATGATGGGAATGGCTCAGATAATGGCAATCGTGTGCGTAATGAAGCCTACTTGCTATATGATGCAAAACCCTGAGAAGCCTTCGTAATGCAGCATCGCCACAAAACAGGTTTTTCTTCATCAAGGATTGTTATGAGCTTGATCCTGTTTGTTCTTGTTGGGGATTTTTAATATGAGATTCAGGAGTAAATATGTTCTTGCCTCTTACTCCAAAGTAACCATTTAGACCAGAGCAATAACATACTTTGTTGTTTAATGTCTCACAGATTGTGTGTCGGTCATTGGATCAGATGATGCCACCACCTGCCATTTGGTTGTGCTGCGACACACCGGTAACATTTATTTACTAGATTTATGCTGAGTGTTTAATCTGCCTTTGTATGAAGTTAAGGAGCTAGATTGTAAATGCTTGCCATGCTTTAATATTATTATTTCTCAGGAAGTGGAGCAGTTTGCCTCGCTCACTGCGATGGTTCCAGCACTTGGTCTGAAGTCCCGCTCCTTGTGAAAGCTGTCACATCTCTGAGTAACGTCTGTAAGGAGGGCAGGTACGATGCATGGCATGAAATACAAATGCACATGGTAAAAATGTTCCTTGCTCTTTTTTTTATGTTTCGTCTTCTTGCTATTTTGCAGACTTGAGCTCCATCTTGTCGGGGGATTTAACGATGATTCAAAAACATCCCACAAACTCAGCCTTAACATACTGGGTATAGTCTGATGAAATCGCCTCATGTCGCATTGCAATAATATGCTGACAGCTTTTTATTCTTGTAAAACTTAAATAACTCTTTTTCACTTTATAGCTGCCTTCCACAAACAGAAAGAGGATATTCATCTGGAAACATGCTGCATCACAGGTAACTTTGACATAAGTTTTAAATAACTTTTAATTGTTTAGAAATAAGCTACCAGTCAAGTATTTATCTAATTAACCCTTCTCTAATGCAGAAATGAACGACATTGTTGTTAATGGAAGACACAAACCTGTATTATATGGAATAGGTGAGTGCTGAATATCCTACAGAGAGAAATGCACTGCCATCATGTGACTATGTGACTTTTAACATATAAAATCTCTTCTGTTGCTGCACAGGTGTAAATGTTAAAACAGGAGAAGTGTTTCCTGCCTCATTCACCTACAAAGGGCCTGCAGAGGAGCTGCGAGCAGCACGGACCTTCACAGGTGGACAGGTACTGGGAAACATGAATCATTGTTGTCTCTAGTACAGTAAAATGCATATTTATGTATGAACTGTTACCACTTGTTTACTACTTATTATTTTAATTATCAGTTAATCTGTTGATCATTTTCACTTAGCTAATTGTTAACTTATATGAAATGTCAGAAGATTTAAAAAAAACTATTTGCAAAATTCCAAGTTGGACATCTTGTTTGTCTGACCACCAGCAGCTAAGATAATAAAGTCATTGTTTTGTGAATGACTTAATCAGTTACAAATATTGATTTCTTAATCAACTTTAATTGTTTCATTAATTCAATGTCTGTTTGTCCTTTTAATGCCATGACCCCTTCCTGTTGACATATTTTTAAAAAGAAAGTTCAACCCACTCTTTATTAGGCGATGGAGACTGAACCTCTGTACAGAGATTATTAATAATATGCTGGTTGTCCCTTGCAGATGGCTGACATATACGATTCATGTAAAGGACTCGTTAAAATCGGCCCGTGCAAGTGGTCTCCTAATCTGGATATTGCCTTCTGGTTGTCACAAAATGATGACACAATTTTAAAGGTAAAGTCCTCTTTTAGTAATTCCCCCTTAAAGGTCTGTACGTTTTTATTAAAAAGTTTTATGATGACACAAATACTTGGCAAATTATTAACAAAGTGCTGTAGTAAGTGGTATGAAACAGACTTTGGTGTTTCTCTCTCCCATCCCAGTACCTGTCCACCTCTCCGATGGCTGAGCCACCACACTTTGTCCAACACATGAAATCCACCATCCAGTTTCTTTTGGAACACCCCGACTCTGACAGCCTGTTCCCAGGGGGTCAGCCACAGCTCTACCACCGGAGTGAGAAGGAACACTGGGAGAGGGTCAGCCAGTCATAGAGGCCAGCCTCCCTCTGAACCTTAACATGGGACGTGACTATTTATGCCTCTCAGCTCAATGGATGCACTGTGACCCCTCTCACCCTTTGTTTTTCGTTCATTTTGTCTTAACACTAACCTTTGACTGGACCTATCAACATTTGAATAGCTCTCCTGACTCATCTGGCTGGTCCAGTAGAGGGAACAGAGGAGGTGATTGTGTTTATGCCTCTAACAGATCATTTCCACTCTTATGAGGTGGCATAAAGTCTGCACTGTACACCACCTGCTGTGTTGGAGTAAGTTGAGGTTGAAGTCCTTCTCAGTTTTGTCTTACTGTATGTTCAGTTAAATATATATATATATATATATATATATATATATATATATTTAGCCCACAAAGGACAGCTGGTTTTCCAAAGTTCACTGTTTACTTATAGTGTTAAATTAACTTGACATTTGATTGTCATTTATTGTGTTGCCAGAAAATCTGAAAAGGGGAATCATGTAAGCAGTAAATATGATGTTGTGAATAAGAGCAAAGAATTCTATGAATTACAGAAAAACATTTCCTATACATTACCAGATGATAATATAGCTTGAAAAAATACAAATAACCTGGGTGATTGACAGATAGACTGTTGGAAAGTAATCTATAAACATATGCTTTGGAAATCTATGCATGGTCTGTAGTTTATGGGCTACAACTTGTACATTAAAACATCTGTATTGCTCTTATGCATCTAGCTTGACCTACTGGTGAGGAAATGTTCCAGGTGGGGAAACTACTGCAGCAACAAAAAAAAAATTATTTTGGCACTTTGTTTAAAACAGAATACAAATTCTACGATGTTGACTCGCAAAACAAAGTTTATTTTTCTCTACAAATGCACCTTCCTAATGAGAGTGGAATATGATACTCTACATACTGCTGTACACTTGGCTATGAATGTGTATGTTTTAGGAACTGCATGTGTATCGTAATCTCCAGCAAGGGGTGACATGGTTTTTTGCTGAATGCAACAAAATAGGATTTTACCAGTGTTACCTATTTTGAACCAGTTAAAATTAAATAAATGGCCTTTTCATCAGTTGTGTTACATGAGAGGTTGTAAGGTGCTCAAAGCATCCAGTTTAACTTGTCACAACTTGTGAACAAAATGTACCTGTTACTAAATAAATGTCAATGATCAAATCTGCTTTGATATTTGTGTACGGAGTTTCTAGAGCAAATTAAGTTGTAAGATGGAAATGGAATTTATGGTTAACTTAGTTTAGGGTTATAATTATTGTAAATAAAAACTTGCCTGTACATTAACTAATCTTAATAGATTCCCATTTATTTGGATATTTCAAAGCAATTTCGAGTTGGAATATAAATGCTTCATTCAAATGTACTTACATTTACATTCCAGCTGTCAGTTCATCAGATTTATCTAGAGTCTCAACAAAGAGAGTGAAATGAATAAATAAAAACAAAAAGGTTTGGTCAAAACACTTGAAACAGAAATGTATAGCCCGACATCGCGGGAAATTCTATTTTATTTTAAAACTGATGCAGAAAAGACTTCACCAGAATGCCAGAAATGAAGTGTCTGCCTAATGTAAAGTACATGAGCTTCCACAGTAAATTAAGTTTTTGAGACAGAAAACAGAATTTAGGGCTTAGTTTAGGGTTGGAATTAGTTTAAATAAAAACTTGCCTGTACATTAAGTAATCTTAATAAACTCCATTTTATTGAGATATTTTACTGCAATTTATTGGGTCAATTCTTCATTCCTCAAAATAAAAAAAAATAAAAAATATATATATCAAAATAAATATGTATAAAAATAAATGTACTTACAGCTAACATAGCATTTTAGCTGTCAATTTGTCAGTTTCATTAAATTTTCAACAGATACTTAAATGAATAAATAAAAACATAAAGGTTTGGTCAAAACATTGAAAAACAGCCACATTTAGCCCGACACAAGCTGAAAATTCTACTCAATTGTAAAATTCATACAGAAAAAGGAACATATTAAGGCATAAAAATTCACCAGAGTGCAAAAAATTAAATGTCTGACAGTCTACATGTCCTGGGGGAGGACAGCCAGAGCAATGCTTAATGTGAAGCACATGAGCTTCCAGAATAAATTATGTATTAGAGATAGAAAACAGAATTTAGGGTTTACT